GGCGTTCTAGACCGAAACGTCTTCGCGAACGGTCGTCAGTTTGAAACAAGGGCTGAATTGAAGGTACGAATTCTTAAGTCTTGGGCTGAGATCGATCAATCATACTTGGCCAAGTTGGCTGAGGATATGCCTACGAGAATTGCCCAAACGATCATTTGCCGCGGCAATCGCATTGATAAATAGCCCTAAAACGAAGTGCGTCTATAATTTCTTTTCAGACCAAATTTTGACTATTGAACTTTTCCCTTTACTGACATGGTTTCATCCTAAATCCTTTTGTATCCTGCCGATTGAGACCATGACTGCATGGACAACGTATCGGCTTTAACCGCCATCCTTAAAGACACTTGAGAAGGTGAAAATTATGGGGTGCGTCTATAATTACTTTTCAGACTGTACCTACGGAGTTCCCGGACGATTCACACCGCTCTCGTGCTGCCTGTAGAGCCTCGGAACGTCCATCATCCCTGGCCAATGCACGGGCTACGCAGAGCCAGGACATGCGTCTAGACAATGTGCCAGTGTCCTGCAATCGAGAGTGTGAAGCTCCAATTCAAGGATACAATTGTGCATGAGCGGTCGTCGTTTTTCATGTCGCGTGCCTGACTTTCCATCTCGTACACCACTAGGGAGCACATCCTGGGGCTAGCCGACTTAATGATAATGGCATACTGGTTTGGTGGGTCATACTATTCACGTGGCTCTTCCCTGTTTTTCCTTATGTACACGTTTCGGATTACTAAACCGTTGTGGTTGTGACATGGTTGCCAGCTCGCTGCCCAAGTACAACACCTTTTCCTACCGCCAAGCCTGCAACATGTCTTGGTGTGAACACGCTGAGGTTTTACGACTTACGGGTTTGTGAACCAACTCGTGGCTACCTACTCATCGCGCAAGATGCTCCACTGGTCTCTCATGTTTCCTTTGTCCTTGCTTTCAGACGCCTCGTCTTCCGTAATTTGGATCTCCCAGGCGGGAGTTTACTTTCTGGCCCATTTGCCACGCTCGCATGTTGTCCAGGCGAACAATGGGCGAGTACTACGGATTTACGTCCACGACTGCCCTCTTTACCATGTATATTGCGCTACCTCGTTCTTGTTAACACTACTGCCCATCGCCGCGTCTACGAACGCTGCAACAAATGCCGCGGAAATGACCAAGCTGGCGCTCCAGTTCACACCCTTTCCGCGCTATGCATCATTGTTTGCGACCGTCGCTACAATGTCTTCAATGTAGTCCCGGGCACACGCTACATTTGCTATAGGCATATGGCACTTGCGCCAGTGGTGGTGCTTCATGGCTTGCAACAGGTCTTTGTCACAATTTACCGCCAAACCCACTCGAGCATAGCTCGGAAGTGGGTCCATTGGCATTGTGATGGCGTCTTGCGGCGTCGTCAACGCCTCCTCTTCTTTTGGGTTGCGAAAGATTGCCGACCGGTATCAAAATACGACATTTGTGGAGGCCATCTTGTGATTATTGCAGAGTTTGGATCCCTGGCACGCAACGGTTTGGTTTTGCCGTTGTGGATCGTACACAAGGTGCAGGGTGGGTCCAACTCAAGGCCAAGTGCTGTGGCGAGTGGACGCTTGCGGTCACCACAGCCTTACTACTCAGCTTGGCGGATGCTTGTATGTTTTATCTTGATGTCCACACTCGCTTTGCGTTAATTTGGCCTTAGTGATGTAATTGCGTCCACTTCGTGTTGCTTCCATCGACGCTGTGAAAGCGTGGCAATTCACGACTTGACGAGTGGTCAACAGCCAAGAGTTTGCTTAGGACGCTATCCAAGCGTTTTCCCATTCTCGAGGGTTGGCTCAGTTTCTTGTCCTCGAGTTTTGAGGTGCAATCAACGCCACTCTAAACCTCTGGTCGCCACCTTGGTGTTGTTCATGCAGCATTCAAGGCCATTTTGCGACAATGTTGGGTATCGTGGTCGTGGCCGCAGCATCTTCCGTGCTCTGTTGCATCGGATATCGCACGCCACTTGCGCAACGTGGACTGGGACGCCCTTGGCTATGACCTGGACGGCCATTCAGGTCATCGTTGATGCGTTTTATAATGGCTAAGGTCGATTTTTATGTGGAATATGTTTCAACGATATTCATTCAATAAGATGAAATTAAAGGCGAATGGCAATCCAATTTTTTTTAAACAGATGAGCTTTAAACATATTGTTTGCAAATAATTTGGCCGTATTTCGAATTGCTTCGACACGAAGTCGAAATTCAAAATTTTGAAGGTCCAGCAAGGAAGCGGTCACCATGGAGGACGGTGACTGGGACATGACCTGCAATGCAGCTGTGGACGAAGACTTGTTTGGCAGGCCCTTTGACGTGGAGGGTGCTTACGATGGCATGATGTTTCCAGTGTCGCCCCTGTCCAAACAAGGTGCGAAATGCCTTCGGCAAGCTCAGCGATCGAGTCGACACGAGGTGCATTCCACAGTGTTTAGTCGAGGGGTTCCGAGTGCTGATGCCTCAAATATAGCACGAGAAGAAGAAAAATCGACGACGAACTCTTGACATCTTCCAAGAACAGTTTGAAAACCACGTCGAGGTGCAGCCAAGCATCTCACTGCTCACCACGGATGTTCGTAGCAACGTCATGCCCTCATAACGCCTCACAAGCAACCGTAGGAGGACGACACTGAGCTAATGAAGAGACCTGCCTCCGCGAAGAAGCCTCGTTTGTCGTTTAAACCATCCATTTTTGCAGCAAGACCAACTCCCACGTTCATGCGGCTGCCGCAGTTGCCGAGTCGATTGATCCTTCCTACGAAGCTCAAGACTCCCGTGAAAACACTATTAAAGCGCCCGCACTTTGACAACGCGAGCAACATTCCCTCCAAGCGACAGAACCTTTCCAGCGGCATTCCTGTTCTAAAAGGGTCATCCGTGTTAAAGAGCCCGTCCAAAAGTCGAATTCCCGTGCGTGCGGCCGCACTCTAGCCGACCACTCCCTGCCCCTGTATTTATCCTGGTGAGAGTTACCCTCTCGTTCTCGGTGTTAATGCTGTTAATGCTTTCCCTGCATCATGCAAATCAACTTCCCGTAGCCTACTCAATAGTTCCCATTTCCAAAATATTCTACATAATCAAGTGAACAACATGGGCTGGTTCCAACCTTTTCCTCCAGCCACAATCAGGCATGATGTACTCTCGTACATGGTCAAGAGGGACGCCACAAACGAGTACGCCAGCAGCACAAGGCACACAGCAAGCACAGGCGCCGCCCACAAACGGACGCCTGCGTTCGCAATTCTGGCTTTAAACTCGGAAGCAGGAGCACCGAGAAGCATGCAGCAATCGTCTTTATAGAGTGCATGAAGTACATCATCGCGACTGGATTGTGGGTGTCAGGTGCGTCGGTCGCGCCAGTAGATGACATTGCAAGTTGCGTTCGGCGCATCTGTGAGCTTGGCGGCCGAAGTGCCGTCAATGCTACGGTTCGTGTAGTACGGTCGGCAAAAGCGAGCAAAAATAATAAAGTGGAAGCATATTGTCCACCCATAGAACAACCATGACATGCGGCGGTACCCAAACGGCGGGACGCAGGAGGCCGATGAACTCTCTGAATGACCACCTGATGCCAATCAAGGTCGTGACCGAATTGAATGACCTTCCAGTCATGTGGAAGTACACTGCAGAGAGGGGGTAAATGAGGTTGGAAAGGGCGCCGTAGCACATGATGGTATGGCGCGACGGGTTCGAGGTCTCCGCCGTCATGTACATCTGCACTGGCCCGGATCGCATTGCACCGCTGCCAGACCTACTTCTCGATTCGACGTAGATCGGGGACTTGGCTTCGTTGCAGCCCTCGCCGTCGTCGTGGTTGACAATCTTGGACAGATTGAGCTTCATCGTCATGTCAACGAGCTAGGCGGGCCAGGTACAACTCGGCATCGTGCCCATGAAAGCAAGACAATTATCGCAAATAGTGTAAGAAGAGTGGGGACATTTCAACGCTGTGATAAAAACAATCGTCATGTCGACGGCTTCAGCTAGCCAAAGCGGCGCCGGCGACGCGGCGAGTCTACCAAACACGTCTACATGAATTAGAGTGATGGGAAGTCTGAATGGTCAGGCAGAATGCAGCGCAGCTCTCCTGCTTCGGAATGGGGAATTCTATGCGGGCGACGCCTCGTTGTGCCAGATTGGGATGAAACTGTCCGAGGCGATATCCGCTGTTACAACTTGTCTTTCGTGCTCAGCGGTGGAGTGCGCGATGCCCCTTGTGATGGTGCAGCCCAAGATCAAGTATGTGGCAGAGTGCGCCCCAGCCCCAACTTCGTCCGTGCGTACGCTGGTGCAGGGCAACCATCCTTCGCTTCGAGAGTTTGTCCACGACAACCAGAGCGAACTCGCGACGTCCGAATTTAAGGATGCGGTGCGGTGGCCAGTGCTCGTCCTTGTGGCAGTCATTCGGTTCTTCACCGGTGTCCAGCTCGTACTCGTCGGCCTCATGCATTTGATCGTGTCGCCGCGCCAAGTTGTCCTCTTGCAAATGTGGACAACCAACAACTTGGTTGGAGTCGTTTATGTGTCGGTTGGTGCTGCCATGCTCGTGCTGTGCATGTCCATGCTTGTTAAGCCTCGCCGACATCGTAAGCAGAAAGCCATCGAGTCGACCCGACCCTGGAAACGGAAAGTATTGTTGTGGCGGAGGTACCTTCTCATGCCCGTGTCATCAAGCCAAACGTATCGTTGGTGCACTTCTCACGACTCATCCGTTTTGATATGGCACTGCGTTGCCACTGTCACTCATTTGTGCCAAGCGTACAGGCTGTCATCGCTGGTCTTGCAGGCGGACATTGTCGTGGGGTTTGCCTGTTTGATTGGACTTGGAGCCCTCGCCGTGCCATTCTGCCTTCGCCAGTCCCTCGTCGCCATGCAAGCGACAGGTGTCCTGACTGTCAACGTCGTCGTGTCGTTCGTGCTCTCTATTGTCCTTCCGTTTTGCATCGTTCAGCCCACAATCGCAAAGTACCTGTCGTCGGGGGTGTACGGCCTCCTCTTCACCAACGAAGAATTCGTTGTGAACGTCTTCTCGGCACGCCAAGCATCTGTATCATCCCTTGGCGACTTGATCACTAAGTTGTGCCCGATCGTGGCCATGCACCACACCATGCGCAACCTCACCATTGGTTTCGGACCACCCCACCATGTCCCACGCCACGTGCATCACTTAAAAGAGAAGACGACGATGTCGACCATCTCGGAAGCCGGCGAACCATCAACGACCAGCGGATCGTCGGTACTGCTTTTGTGCCGCCGCACACTCTTAAAGTACGCTGGTGACACGAGCCGACGGCCGATCCAGGTCTCAACAGGAAGAACGCTCCAGCAGTCACCGACCCACATCACAGCTCCCACGCCGTCCTTACCCTCTTGGACAGTGCGCCAGGTCCCCAAACGCTTGACGAAACGATGCAATGTACGACTACTATTGTCTGTCCAGTGCCTGTGCCTGGCGCGTGCTCACAGGCTCGTAGAATTGCTCAATTGTCGACGGAGCGCCCATGACATTAGACAACCAGGTATTTGTGCGACGGTTTGTATCGTTCCACGTCGTGTTGGGCGTCGTCGTCATGGGGCTGGCAGTGTACAGCTATGCGACGCGTCCACGCTGCCCCGCGTACTGCGCCCAGCACGTTGCCCCTTGGTTTGCCTCGACTTGCGGATGCATCTACGTGAATGTAGATTGCGACAAACTCAACATATCGGGGTCCACTTCGGACATGGAGGGCATGTTGACGGCCGACACAATTGGGTCGTCTGTCTTTTGGGTTCAAATCGCTAATTGTGACGTTGCCAATGGTCTGTCGCCTCGTACGATGCAGCAACTCCCAGCTCTCTACGGGATTTCGCTGTGGCAAACGCACCTCTCGGACTGGACCATGCCGGAAACGGTGTGGCCGGCGCAGTTGACCAAGATCAGCCTGCAGCACAGTCCGCACCTGACCGAAGTTCCACAAGTGCTGTCTCCGCTGCCGTCGTCTGTGCAGGTCTTGTTTCTTGTCGGGTGTGGCATCACCGAGCTATCTAATTCTACCGTGCAATCATGGCGACGTCTACGGCAGCTTTGGATTTCCCAGCTTCCGATCACGACCTTGCCTCCATCCATCGCCACGCTCGAAATGCTCGATGGCCTTCGTCTCAACAACAATCGTCTGGTGTCCTTTTCCGTTGACACGATCCGAACGATGGCGACCTTGGAGGTGCTGTCGCTGTCATCCAACAACCTGACGTTGTTGCCGTGGGGCAAACGAGCAATTGAGACGGACGTGGCGGACAACCCGATTGCGACCTTGCCTCGCGAGCTGTCTGTGGACTTTTTAGCGACTGGAGTGGTGACGGTAGCCAGCACTGTGTTTTGTGCAGTCCAACTCAAGCAAAATCCGACGAAATGGGCCACCATCTGCCACCCGCTCTGTGCCCCACACTGCTCGAGCCAACTGGTTGGGAACGGTCTGTGCGACGTGTCGTGCTTGGTGCCACAATGCGACTACGACGGAGGGGATTGCAACGAGTTCTTTGCACCAGGAGATGGTCAGTAACACGCCTCCAAAACCAACCATCTCGACTCGGCAACTACTCTCAACCTACTCGTCCTTGCAACGTTGGATGTTATTTCGTGGATGGCGTCATCGATTCAAAGAGCTGTCGCCTATCCGAGGAAGCATCCCCTGCCGCGTCATGTCGGCATAATACATGTTGGCTCGAATTGTTGGGTGTGCTTGACGATGGCAGCCCAGATGCTAGGAAACAGTCCAATGAATTAAAGCCACCACGATGGCTTCGACGTACAGGCTGGGTACCAACGGGTGGGCACGGAAAAGATTCGTGCACCCAGGACGTGTCCTAACAACGAGTCAGTGAACAGAGAAACTCACTGAAACAAACGAGTCAGTGAACAGCCAAGTGGAATCGGAAATTTACATGTTGCGCCGCAGCGTGGTCATGCCACGCGGGAGGAAGCTGATACGCCGCTTTCTGGTACAACGGTAGGTGGTGGGAACTGCTGTAGAGCGGCAAGTTTGGTGTCGACCGCACGACCGTGCTGCCTTTGTCGAGACTTGTTTTTTTGAAAGTCCACGATGGACTTTTCTGCTTGACAGATGCCGCCTTCTTTTCTTTTGTGGCCTTGTCTGCCGCGAGCGCATCAGCCACGAACTTTTTGCCTTCGACCACGATAAATCCTTCACTCAACCGGCTCCGCACGCGAAGTTGCAACAGCGCCATCGCGCTTTCTTCGGACTTGAGTCGCGTGTGTGTCTCGGTCAGCATGCGCTTCTCGCCTCTACAATTTGCTGAAGTCGCCCCCGCGTCCATGTTGTAAATGTAGGTCACAAACTTTTGAAACAAGCCAGACGTTTCCGTGAGGCCGTGGTCCCGAATTGTGGCTTCCCAGAATTTTTTCACGCTGTGTTCGTTCATGCCGTTATGCACCATGCCAACGCGAGGCATGGCGCCCGCGCGTGGCTTCTTGGGTTTTTTCACGTTTGTGTTGTTTGTGATGGTCACGCGCTTGATCACTGCATGCGCCGTTTTTGCAGTCGGGTCTACTGGGGCGGGCACGATGTCCTAAGTGCAATGCAGTCACGTCTCCGTACAACGCGGGAAAAGGAGGGTGCAGTTGTACATCGAGGCCCCAGTTGTCGGGCGGGCAATCCTGACTCAGGGCCAAGAGGGTTTCCTTGGTTTCGGTCGCGTCGACTGCATCGGAGGTGTCCGGCGGTACGGACTCAAAGACGGTTGGATTCGGCGGTCCTTCAGGCTTCATTACACCGAGGAGAACATGCAAGATGGAAGGCAATGTGATTTTGTCGACGGATTTCAACTGCGCGACAAGAGGCTGGACGTTGCCGAGAGCAAGGGCATCGGACAGCCCGTGAAAGAACACAAAGAGCTCGTCGTGGTCGATAGTGCCCGTTTCAGCATGATCAAACAAGTTGAATCGATCGAGAATCATGTCCACGTCTTGATCGCCGAAACACGAACGCATCTCGGGGGTGATCACTACGTCGTGGTGGCTGAGCAACTGCACCAATTTGGCCACCCGGACATCGACATGCCTGTGTTTGCAGGCGGCTGTGGGGTTGGCAAGATATGCCGCACGACGCAGTCGTACGCTGTCTGGGACACTCTACACCGACTTGAACACTTCGTCCAACCTGCAGAATCGTGAGGGTTACCGTCTCTTTTCCAACCGTTTTTCGTATTGAGCGTCCAACGGGTGCCAGTAGTTGTCTCCCACAGCCACAGCCATGCTTTTGCTACCCACAATGTGACTGTGGTTGTGTTTAGGGCCTCCGTTTTCATGCGTTGCAGACAACAGCTCTGTCATGAGCGAAAACAAGTGACGGCGAGCTAGCTTTCGAAGGGCGGAGCTCGGAATCATGTTGGGAAACTACACGTCAACGCAGCCGTCGTCGACCACAATATCACATGGGCCGGTGCAGTACTTTGATGGTAGCGCATTGCATAAGCGCGCCACAGAAGAGCTTGAAGGAGAGCGCAGGTGCCCCGTCTAGAATGGCCGAGTGGGTAGGCCATTCCATAATATACCGTGTTCACCTGCGTCGAGATATGTGCGCAGTTTGCCAAGCACGGCAGTGGCGAATACCTCTTCTGCCTAGTCGATTGGAACGTCATGGAAGCATCGTGCTTGCTGATGGTACTTGTTGGGCAGTGAACGAACTGGACAGGATGTGGCCATCCTTAAGAAGCTCGAGGAATCGTGGAAGGTTGATGGACGGGAGCCTACTCACGCTCGACCCATGGGTGGATAGCTGAGACACACGCGGTCAGTACTTGTCACCGTGAAGCGACGAATCGTAGAACCGAAAGATTTCGTACACTTGCTCCAGTTCATTCGATTCCAGGGAATCGTCCTCCTAAGGCGCCGGTGAGGTAATGGCCCAGCTTCAACAGACTTTGCAAGCTGACCGTATCCGAAGGTGCGATGGCTGCAATTGCCTGCTCGTTCACAAGCCATTGGTGTTTGGAGAGGTGTCGATCGAGTATTCTAGGATCCGACATCACACATCCCCGACAAAGTCTCCAAGCGACAAAAGCGCTTCAGATCAGCTATATATAGAGGCGAGAGCCACGCACATGGCCAAACGCATCGTCTAACCAGAGTTCGTTCACGGATGTCTTCCTTGAACAGAGTGTGATTGAAGCATCTTAGCCCACATACGTCGACCCAGCTCCAAAACACTCCTATGCACGACATGCATACGAATTCTGCTTATCGACGTGTACACTTAATAATTTTTAACATAATAGTTCATAATTATACGCGATGATCAATTGGCCGAGCGGTCTAAGGCGCCAGTTTAAGGCACTGGTCTGAAAGGGCGTGGGTTCGAATCCCACATTGGTCATAACTTTTTTGCTTCATGCGAGCATTTTGGAGTGATGCGCCTCAAGGTGGTCAGGGTGCCGCCTTCCAATGTCGCAATGGAGCTTGCTATACGCGCCGTTTTGGCGGTCGACGCGGTTTGGCTTTATGTGGAGGAATTCGCCATTGTATAGCCTCTTCAACTAGTGCTGTTTGTGCGTGGTTTGGCGAGTTCTCAAGTGGACGAAAGTCGACGATGCTGTGCGTGTTTGTGCGTGGTTTGGCGAGTTCTCAAATGGACGAAAGGCGAGGATGTTGTGCGTGCGATTCCAAGATGGCCCTGCAATGTCTCATAACGTGAAAGGCAATTGCAGGAAGCAATTTGCGAGAGCACAAGGCAAGTCCAACATCCCGTCAAGGTAACGGCTTGCGATCGTGAAACTGTTGTCAAGAAAAGGCGGCGCCGTCGAAGTAGGACGACGCAACGAGGAACATGTTTGCTGCCGCCACAGCCATGAACGACGACGGCAACGCCGGAAACTTATCAGACAGGGCCATGATCCTCTCGCGGGTCTTGGAACGACAAGCTCGGAAACATACTATCACAAGGCGCGTGTCTCTCAATCCTGCGCAACTTGCCACGTTGGTTGGCTCCAGCAACAAAGCGTTGGCCGTGGTGACTCCCGTTTTGACTTCGTGTGTCCCGACCATGACTCCATCCGGCGGTACCGCCACGACCTCGTACGTTGCCGTGACACAAGGTACGTGCCCCTTCGACGTCACGCCCATTCATCGCAATCCAGGGGGGTTCTGGGCAACACGGCGACAGCTTTGGCTGCTCTTTCACGATGCAACATCGTCGCACCTGGTAAGTGAATCGAGAAGGCCAACAACTCGTCACACGTGGCAAACCAGGCAAAATACTTGTCCGTCTTCATCTTGACCGTCGTCGCGTTGTCGATCATGGTCTACATAATTCAAAGCCAACCGGATTTGTCCCCTTCGGTTCGCGACGCGTTGACAGAGGTCGAAGTACGTGCGCACTGCACGCCACCGTCGTCTCAATCTTGCCTCAGCACGCTTGCATTTACGTTTTCTCGTTGGATTTTGCCGTGCGATTGCTGTGCACGCCAAACTTGAAAGCGTTTGTCCTCGGTATCGTGGCCAGACGTCCACGGTGTCGTCACCGGCTCACGGCATTCGGATAGACGCGTTCAATTGGGTCGACCTTGTGTCTGTGTCACCGTACTACCTCGAGTTTGTCGTCGACTCGGTACGTCATGCCACACGCGGCGCATCGAGTTGCCGACTTGTGCGACAGAAAATGTACTCCTCGGCGTCGTCCTTGAGTGCAATTCGAACGATGCGCCTGCTGCGCGTCGCGCGCATTCTCAAGCTGTCCAAGTACACGTCGTCGCTGCAGATCTTTGTCAAGGTATGTGCTAGTGACCACGTGGCATAGTTTCGGTCTGATGGATGTGCAGTCGCTCAGCCTCAGCGCGACTCCGCTCTTCATGTTGGTGTTTCTCATGGCGCTGGCTATGGTACGCCACGACAGCAAACGCAACGTTTTGTCGGCACAGTTGTTCACCTACTGCAGATCCTGTTTTCCAGCGCGCTGTACTTTGCCGAAATGACTGATTCGTCTTGTCGGAATCCAATGTATTCCAAGACGTGCCACCCGTATACGAACCCCATTGACGACTGTTGCGACGTCAACCCGTTCAAGAGGTATGTACTGGCTCAAGGAGGAGGGAGATGGCTCCGCCTTGGCTGAGTGCATGCAACGGTGCTGTAGCATTCCTGCCACGTTCTGGTGGGCACTTGTGTCCATGACAACCGTCGGATACGGCGACGAAGTGCCCGTGACTCCGCTGGGAAAGTTGATTGCGTCTGTCGCGATGTTTGTGGGCATGTTGATCTTGTCACTGCCGATCAGCGTCATCGGGTCCAATTTCCAGCGCGTGATGAAAGAAGTTGCCCAAGAAACGCTAAAAGCCAACATCGATGTCGTCACGAACCTCGACGTGATGCGACGGTATGCTCCCGAGACGACGACTACACGCCGATTGGTGACGACGAATGCAGGACAGAAATGGTCGACGTCCTCCGCGGGTTTGACATCCTCGGCGACAACGTCGAGATCGACCCTGACGAACTTATTGCCCTCTACGATATGAATCAATCCGGCGCGCTGGAAGCTGAAGAACTCGTATGAAGTAAAACACCGCCATGTGAGTGACTGTGAGCACCGCGTATAGGCCAACTTTCGCCACGACTTGGCCGACCTCGAACGCGTCATTCGCACCCGCCAGGCCCACTTGGTGTCGCCCGAGCACGCCAAACGAGTCAAGCAGCTGTCATTTGGAGGAAGCTTTAAAGCCACCGACGCCACCGACGTCCAGCTCCAGCGCATCGAGCAAATGATCGAGACGCGACTCCTGGAATCCGAAGTCCGCATGGAAGCCAAGATTACGCTGCTTTCCAAGGCCCTCTTGCGGCTCCAAGCACAGATTGATATGATGGGCGACTAATCTTTCATCTCTCGCCGTGTACTCCTCTTGTCCATCCACTCCTGTGTCGGACGCGGTTCCAATTGGATCTGTCCAGCTGAAATGCACGCCAGGCAGTGCCCTGGTCCACGTGGCCCGGCCAACTGAGACGAAGACAATGGCTCAATTATTGCCGACACAGCAACACACACATTTGCCCTGGCATATGCAGAAATGGCACCGTGCCAGCACCGAGAACCCAATCGTTGTCTTCCAGTGCGGCGGCCACCTACACACACCAGTTATTGGAACGAATGGACACGCATGGCTTACGTTTTCTCGACGGATGGACGGGAGCACATGCGAAGATACCACATCGCGAGCCGTGGATAGAGACCATCGAGCTGTAAGCCACAGCGGACGGCGTACGCGACGTTTGTAAACACGACAATGTCGCACAGATACACGTCGTTCCCGACCAAGTATTGCCGGCCGTCCAAGTACATTTCCCACAGCTTCAGCTCGGTTTCAAGCACGTTCCACTTGACATGGAGTACGTCCATGTTGGTCTTGATGTTCTTCTTCGCGTTCGATTGTGCGCGGCGAAGGTAGACGACCATCTCGCCTACGGTTGAGAGGACTTCGTTGGCTTCGTGGAGCCGCGTTTCAGCCACGGCGAACGCTTTGGGATCAGTTGGCATTAGCGGATTCGGGTAAAACTTCTCGAGAAATGCCAGAATCGCATCGCATTCGTACAGAATGACGCCAAAAGTTCCGTCGACAAAGACTGGCACACGCATGCGAGGGTTGAGTTGGCGAAAAGCCGGGGATTTCAGGACCCCGCTAGAGAAACTCGCACACACGCTGCGGTATTCAATTTGCTTCTCTTCTAAAGCGATCAGCACGCGCCATGCTACAAGGATGCCAACATCATACGACTTGCTAGGTGAGCAGCGAACGCTGTGCTACTTACCTTGCGGCGATCCAGACCCCCAGTACAACACTCGGTCGCCAGGTTTGGCAAACGTTCGGATCAGTTCTTCTTCGGTGCATATCGCATATGCCGAGTCTTGCGACGCGGCACCGGGGTTGCTGTGCACTGGCTCCGTGGCGTCTTCGATCGCGGCGGCGTCATTGTCGTCGACCGTCTTCCTTGCCTCAGCAGCCTCCATTCCTTGAATTCGTTGTGCCGTACATATAGACATGACGAGGAGGACATCGGACTTAACTGAGCATACCCAGCGCCACCATACAACATCCAAGTTAAAATTGTGTAGACGGGTGAATTCATTTCGAAATTCATCACCATTTGGCTCGCCTTTGAGACGATTGCCTTCCCTACCGCCGATCTTCCGTGGGCGCGACGTTGAGCCCTGGGGACGTGTCTGGCCATCTTGCGTAGCGTACCACATTGCGCCATGTTGAAGCTAGACATTCAACACCGACATTTCGTTAAGTAACCGTTTGTCCCGCGCAAGATGTTTGTCCCACGGCACTCCACCAGTGTCCTGGGTCATCAAAATGAACACCGTTCCTGAGACGCGAAGGCGCGTTGGGCGACTAAGCGTGGGCAGCATGGCGAATGGCTCTTCTTTACGAGGCTGTGACGGGGTAGTCATGTGCCATGCGTGGTTTGCCCCGCCGTCAGTGTGAGAGCAGCAAGGTATCGATGTCATGAGATTCGCTAAAATGATTGCAAATGTAGTATTCAACCAATGAAAACTGTATAAATGTGAAATTTCCCCCAATCATAGCGGATTCTTGTTGGCCAATCAGATCGACCATTCTCAAAACGACAACAATTGGAGTGCAAGGACGATGCGTCTCCTGCCGCTGCTTCGTCGGGCCATGGGGGTCCATGGACGCCAAGATGCGACACTACTACAACACACTGCGACAAGGCGCCATTTTGCACTACACACCTCCATCTTGGATCGCATGAGCTTGCTCACTGATCGCTACAAAGTCCTTTCAGAGGAACTCAGCAGGTAGACTTCGTCATCGCATCAAGGTCGAAACTGACACTTTCCTCAGCAACGATGGCAACATTCCTCCTTCGCGTCTCGCCAATTTGTCTATCGAACTGGCAGAGATGGAACCAGCCATCAACGCTATCCAAGAGCTCCACCATCGCCAGGAGTCGATTGCCGAACTCGACGAGGTACATCCAGATATGAAATGGTCGATAGATGCAAACGCGATGGTGCAGGTCATCTCTGATACGCAAAGCGATGACCCAGATTCTAAAGAGCTTCGCGATATGGCGACAGAAGAAAAGTTTGAACTGTTGCATGGGTTGGATGAGCTGGAAAAGGAAATCACCGTACGTGCCAACTGCCTCTCGATGCCTCCACGTCGTCCTTGCACTCACTTGGCCATGTAATCAACGCATTCTAGCGCTTGATGCTTCCAAAGGATCAAGACGATGACAAGAGCGCGATTTTGGAAATACGCGCGGGAACTGGCGGCGACGAAGCCGCGCTGTTTGCAGCTGACGTTTTTCGCATGTATCAAAAGTACGCGATGCTGCAAGGGTGGAAGTTTGAAATTCTCACGATGAGCGATACGAATTTGGGTGGATGCAAGGAATGCTCCGTTTCGATCAGTGTGCGTTCACCTTCCTTTTGATATTCAAAAGTGATTAGGCTAACCACCCCTCCTTGTACAGGGCCGAGGTGTTTATGGCCGCATGAAGTTCGAAAGTGGGACCCACCGGGTCCAGCGCGTACCTGTCAACGACTCCAGGGTCCATACAAGCGCGATCACCATTGCTGTGCTGCCCGATATGGACGAGGTCGTTTTTTACCGAGAGTAGGTCCGTTGCTGATATGCTCCATGATGCATAGGTCGAGATGAAATCGCACTTTCCACCTAAGGATATTCGCATCGACGTGTACCGCGCAAGTGGCGCTGGTGGACAGCACGTCAACACGACCGAAAGTGCCGTGCGCATCACGCACTTGCCCACGGGTATCGTCGCTGCCGTTCAAGACGAGCGCAGTCAGCACCAGAACAAAGCCAAGGCGATGAAGATCTTGTGTGCTCGCGTGTACGACGAAGAACGGCGCGCAATATCGAAGTACCGCGACGACATGCGAAACTCTATTACTGGGAGCGGCGACCGGTCTGAGCGGATTCGCACGTATAACTTTCCTCAGAGCCGCATCAGCGACCACCGCGTCGATGGGCTGTCCGCGTTTGGCATCGAGCGTATGTTGGAAGGCGAGCTTCTCGACGACATCATTGACGCGCTCGTGCTTAAGGACCAAAACGACAAACTCCAGCACATGAACTCCGAGCTCGAACAAAAATAGCACACGCATTTTATTGTTTCGAACCCAGCCTTCATCATTACGCAGCGTTGGGAACCGATTTGTACAGCGCCACCTGTTTGGCCTTGGACGTGTTGACGCAACCTCGCCACAAGGAGGGGACGACAGGCTGCTTGTCGACCGTAATTGCCTGGACGAGGATGTCCACATCGCTTGGGTGATTCATGAGGCCGTACCAATGCCCTTCTATTTAAAACAAGGTTGACGTCGCAGGGTGTATTGAAACGAGGAGGTACCTGGATACACAATGCAATTGCCAGCAAAGCGATGGCCGCCGAAGTGGCTGCACGCGTAGATGGTCCATGTTTCATTTGACGGCCGTTTGGTCTACAGTCCCCATAAGGATTATGTCTCGAGTGTTTGCCGAAATGAACCACCGACCTGAAACCATTCCAGGAGTTTGGGGCCAGCACACGCACATCGAAAGTCACTGGGGAATTAGCATGGGCGAAAGCACTTGTCCAAAATCGTGAATGTACCGTTTCGCATGGGCACACACAAACACATGATGCCCTGACATTTCCGAGACCGACAACCTGCTCTCGTCAGTCGAAAAAACAATGGGAAGGATCACTCTACCGAGAGCGGAGCAACGGCAGGTCCAACGTGTCCTCAAGGAGATGCAAGGCCAGAAAATCCACTGAGGTTGGACGAGACGGTGAAGATTGATGTCGTGTTGCAGGAGGTAAGCGTCAACACTGTACCATCTGAATCGCACACGCCTGAAATGCGAAGATTGTCTGGGAACACGAGGACGTCATGAGTATCGGTGGAGGAAGCTGACTCGACAGCTGGGTCGTCTCCATATGGGTACGCAGTCGCCAGGATCAATTTCGTCGGGGATTTCTCTGTGTTGAGCGGCGCCACAGTCTGTGTTTACACATGATAACTCGAGCGCCACAAGATGCTGCGGCTTACATTGTGATACTTTGATATGACGTGCGTAGTTGATTCCTCGACCTTCTTTGGCCACGCCTCGGCGTCGCGCTGCGGGTCTAGAACGATGAGTTGCCTTCGATAGAACTAAGAACAAACTGAGCCACGGCACATCGCGGGTGTGCTGGATGTCGTACTCACCTGAACGCTCCCTGCCATGGACATCCATCGCTTGGAGCCACCGTAGCAGGCTCGTCCGAAGTCAGCCAAGTTCACTCGACGTAGCATCGTGTGCCGCAGTGATCACTCGAAAAAATGGTTCAAACCCGATTCAATTGGCTGTGTGATATCCAATGGACGACGAGCATTCGAAAGGGCACGACCTCGCAAAATCACACCAACATGGGAAGCCCGGCCGGCACCGACGCCGTCGGATGGCGCGTCCAAGTCCTCTGGGAGGAAGAAGACGCTTGGTTCGAAGGAATTGTGACGGAATACGATGACGAGAAAGGCTACTATGTTTGCTACGACGACGGGGACGAGAAATGGCAGGTTAGGCGGCCGTCGCTGCATTCGACGTCGTGCTGATGCTGCAATCGTTTAGGCGACTCAGGACCCTGGAGCTATGAAATTTTTGTCCAACACGCTTGGTCAAAGCGTGGAAGCTAGGGTTTCCAGTGTCGTGACACCACCAGCCACGGCACGTCAGGACGATCCACGCAATGGCGAGGAAGCTGTGGGGTGGCGAGTTCAAGTGTTCTGGGCCGACGAAGGCACATGGTTTGACGGAGTTGTCACAGAGTACGATCCATCGAAAGGATATTTTGTATGCTACGACGATGGCGAAACGAAATGGCAGGTGATGCGACCGACTCGTTGGTTGTGTGACGGGATTGACGGTGTCCTTGGGCAGGCGTCGAACGACCGCGCGACGATGGTGTTTGTGTCGACCGGTGTACCGATCCCAAAGACAACTCTTTTGGAGGCTGCGCTTGAGCCCAGCACTAATGACCCTCCTAGCGCGACGAAAACAGACTATTGCAACGATGAGTCCGAGCATCACGGCGACGATGACGGCGGGGAGGACACCGCGCTCCTTGGTCACGAGGAAACTACAATCGAAACACCGAGGGCTGGCCACCAACTGAGCCAAAAAGAGGATAAACCCTCGACACCAATTGAAGACGGCGATGCAGATGTATTGTCCACAGACAACTTCACGAGCGTGGCTCTTATGCCCCAGGTTTCCGCGCCAGTTTCGTCGACTCAAGATAAAGACAACACTATACAGTTAAAGCAGCAACAAGAACCGTGTTCCAAATCGGTGTCATCCAAGGCATGGAAACCCCGCAAGAAGCCAGTCATCTTTTTCCACGACAAGGAAGCTCTGGTCGAGATGAAGGCACAACTCATTGCAAGGAAAAATGCTCTAGATGACAACCGTCGCCAGCTCCTCCTCAAAGTCACATTGGCCGAAAATGCCGAAGCGGCACAGAAACAAGAGGTAGCAGACCTGACGGCCAACTTGACAGTGGCACAGCTCAAGACAACTCGTCGGGTAGCGCCGCCAAGGCCGCAGTCCACCGAAGAACGATCGCTCGACTTGACCGTGAGGACCCGCCAATTAAAAAAGGACAATGCACAGGTGACCGGACTGAAGCTGATTTGAGTTTATTCAGCTGATTCAACCTTGCAGCTTCGGCAAACGATCGTAGAGGCAACTAAGCGCGTGGAGGCCATGCAAGGCAAACTAAACAAGGCAAGGGCAGAGTGGAACGCCCTTCCTGCGCAGTGTCGCCTTACACTTGGAGATATCGAATCGCAAATCGCATTGTTGCAAGTGGAAAAGGAAGCCTTGACAGAAGAGCTCCGTCAGCGCCGCGAACTTACCACGGACCCCGCTAATACGCAGTATGAAGGCGTGGCGCTCAAGCAGCAACTTGCCGATTCGGACACGAGAATGTGGCAGCTGAAATCCGAGTTGCATCAGTGGAAAGGTCTGTGTGAGCAGGAGCGCACTAAAGTTGATGCAATGCAAGCTCGCCTGACGGCACTCAAGGCTGAAATGACACCGATGCGATCGTCGCGGATTCTCCTGCGCAGCGCGTTCGACCGATGCGACAAGGACAAGAGCGGCGAGTTGACCGTTGACGAAACTGTTCAGATGTTGCTGTTGCTGGCGCCTCCCGAAGGCGACGTTTGCGAGGACGACATTCGGTCGCACTTTGCTCAATCCGACATGAACCACGACAGCCGCATCGACTTTGCCGAATTCTGCAATGCCGTCGAGCGATTGTTCAACCCAGAGTGAACTAGCTAGTTCATCATGTCTTGGTTTCAGGCACTGTGCATACGTTTTCGTTTCACGTGGTTATCCACGGCACACAGCGCCGTTTCTTCGTCATCTCAAATGCGACGTTAATTATAGCTCTCGTTCGCTCCCCATCCACCGCCTCGGACGCATGGCTACACAAGAGGGACCGTCTATAGTCCACTTGGGCCTTTCCATCGACAGGTCGTCGACGCCCCCCGAGAATGCAATGCCTCACATCCAGCATGCGCGAAAAGCCGACATTCAGATGGTCCCCGAGTCAGCGATGCTCTTGTCGCGAGTGTTGGAGCGCGAAGTCCGCAAACACACCGTGCTCAAGCAATTTCGACCTTCCACGATCATTCGGAAACCACTTCGGGAGATCCCAGCGGTGTCGACTGCCAAGCTATTGCGAACAGGCACGTACAATAAGGTGTTTCGAGGACTCCAACTTTCAAAACACCGCTCTGCCGTCTCTGGCCGTGAAGCTGAAGGACCGTCGGTGCCCATCGGTAAAATCCTTGACCACTGCCTTCCTCAAGCTGCGTGTGTGCCTTGAGATCTTAGACGCGCGTCCATCCGTGCGCACGCGCTTGTGGCTTCTTTTCAACGAGCCACATTCGTCGTCCATGGTACAGCGATCATGTGCGTCAGTGCATGTGTCGCGACAAATGTACGAGTAGGCGCACGGTGTCTCTGTCTTGCTATTCGCGGCCGTGTTTGTGTCGACGATTGTCTATGTCTTATCGACGGTTCCCGAATTCGACGACTCTACCAAGACCGCGTTGTCCGTCGTGGAGGTTGATCGTCTTGTGCCCGTCGACGGCGCTCACAGGGCTTGTCGTAGGGGGCATGCATGTACATGTTTTCGGCCGACTTTTTGATTCGTCTAACCTGCAGTCCCAATGTGAAAGCGTTCGGATGCGGTAAGATCAGCGCAACCTCGACCGCCACAATGTGACGCTACGACATAGACATATTCAACTGGATCGACTTGGTGTCGATCATCCCGTTCTACTTGGAAATGTTTCTCGAAGTGGTATGGTTCTTTCGTGTAGCACCCGACGGTGTTGAGCAAGGTGGGGTAGAAAGGGTCGTCCATCGGGGCCATCCGCATCATGCGCCTCATCCGGGTTGCGCGAATCCTCAAGTTGTCGCGTTACACGTCGTCGATTCAGATATTTATCAAGGTGCAAGCATGTGGCAACCTCGTCGGGCCACTGAGCGCGTTGTAAGGTAGGCGCTTATCCTCAGCGCCAAGCCACTGTTCATGCTCCTCTTTCTCATCATCGTGGCCATGGTGAGTCGCCCACCCTTCGCCCTCGAAACAGCACGGCATGATGAATGTGGTAGATTGTGTTTTCAAGCGCCATGTACTTTGCCGAGTTGACTGACTCTGCCAAGTTCTGTCGCGACCCGCTCCTGTCGAAAGCATGCCACCCCACGCAAAATCCACCGGACAACTGCTGCGAATTGAACCCATTCTACAGGTGTGACCGCGAACTCTCGCCAATTTAGTCGATGGCTCACGTCACGTTTCGTGGCTAGCATCGCCGCAACGTTCTGGTGGTGCATCGTGTCGATGACCACAGTTGGTTATGGCGACGACTTTCCTGTGACGCCTACGGGAAAGCTCATTGCGACGTTGACGATGATGTCGGGAATGCTCATTTTGGCCCTTCCGATCAGCGTCATTGGGTCCAACTTCCAGCATGTGATGAAAGAAGAAGTCCAACACGCGATGCTGAAGAGCTTGGATACGTTGTCGACCATGGAAGTCGTGCAAAAGTTTGTGTCGCAGCAACGTCTTGGCCCGTGCACGACGACTGACATGGTAGGCATTGGTAGGAAAGAAATGATAGAGCTCTTGAAAGGCTTCAACATCCTCGGCGAGAGCATCGACATCGACCCGGACGAACTCATTGCGCTCTACGATGTCCACAAGACAGGTCGACTGGAAGCCGATGCGCTGGTACGTTGGAGAGATCCAAGGGAAGCTAATAATGCCCATGGGATTTATTCAGGCCCAATTCCGAAGAGATTTGGAAGCGCTTCAAAAATACAACTTGACCATTGCATCGCCGCCCATGACGTACCAAAAAGAGGAGCAGCAAAAGCAGCAATGGCCATGTGCTTCGTCTATTGCGGACCTGCGACGTGGACACCACGACCCGTTGACAAAGCAGGTGGCAACGATGGAAGAGATCCTGGAGGTCCGACTGCTCGAAACCGAAGTGCGGTTTGAAAACAAGTTGAACGCGCTGATGAAGATCGTGGCCCAGATGGAAAAGAAAATCGCCATCTTACGAGACTAACGAAATGCTGTTGGTACATCGAACCAATTCAACAATACAAAATACAACGCCATCAACGATTTTGTCGTGAATTGTACAAACCAGCCCACCGTCTATGCTGATGCGCGAGGAGGGAATCCGTGCGCCACTGGAATTGTTGGATATTGAAAGGCGCTGCATCCTGCACTAGTTCCCGTGCACACTTCGAACACGGTGGAAAGACGACGAGTATTGCGATTGAAGCGGCCTGGCACACGCCACACGAATGTCTCATCGACCGACGCATGCCATTTTCGGACATTGATATTGGACATGCTTGCACAGTTCCGAGTTGTCTGAAGCAGTGTAGACCTCAGATCAGTGCAACGGAGACTGAGGGGGCAAAAGTGCCCGTCGCTGTTAGTCGCACGGGAGATGCGTCATCACTCCGTGGCATGATGCGACCACAAGAATCAACGATGTCATATCCGTTAAAGAGTGTCTGGAGTGGACTCCTAGTTGCCGTCATGGTCCAACGTCGACACCTTAGTTGGTTTTCCTCCTCGCGTCGAGGTAAACGAATTCCTGCTGTCCGCAGCAGCGACCGACATCGTTGCGTCGATCGCTTCCTCCAGCTTGGAGAGCTTCGTGGATACGCCGTTGAAATCACGCCGAGTGCTCGTGTCCATCGATAAATCGACATCTCCGGGAGGGAATGGTTCGGTGGAGTCGTTGGGGATGTCATCGTTGCCGCCAGAAGCATTCCTTCTGTTGTCTGTCGTACGGAATTGAATCTTGGGGGAACTGTGGCTCACTTTCAGCCCATTCGAATGGGTGCGGCGGTGGGACGGTTCGAGCGTTGTGTGCGGCGCATTTTCAGCCGTCTCGACGGAGGCATCGCGAAATTGCATTCGATCGACTTGCCCACGTCCGCCTCGAGTCGACTGCGAATGGATTGTCCCAAAAAGACTTGCTTCGGAGTTCGTGTGCGTTAGCTTGGACACTGGGGGTCCACTTGACCCATCATGAAAACTCGTCGACGCACCCAGTCGCTTGACGTGGATTCCAAACTTGCCCCGTCTCGACAACTTGTCATTCAACGTGTCGTTCTCGGGCTGCGACGGCATCGGTGTGGACATCGACAGCCGGGTGACGCTCAAAACAGACGAACTGTTGTCCAGACCAGTGGTAGACCTGTCATGGAATCGTGTCTTGGTGCGACGGCGAAACACCATGGACGACACGAACCGACGCAATCGTGGTGCCAAGAGCGTCGCGGGAGGACTTTTTTCGACTGCTCCTCTGAGCCTTGCGATACTTGGCAGGTGAAATGACAGATGCGAGGCGTCGTGCATGAGACTCGAGCACTTGTCACACAACGCTTGCTGACACAGTCGACAGTACACTGCCGACGCAATGGATTCGCAGTGGTGGCAAATCGTGGTTGCGTCGGCCACGCACGTCCCCAAGTCGTCGTTCGGCGGCGGCGACGGTAGGAAGAGTTTGACGAATTGCCCCAGCACGATTTCCGCCACTTCTGGCGTCATTGGCTTCAACGACCGCAGCGTCGGCGCCATGTGCGTCATGCTGTCGCAAATCATGCGGCCGAACGACCCCTTTTGCTGCGCCAAACGGTGTTTCAAACTCTTTTGGGACTTGGCTACACTCTGCGCGACCCTGCAGCACTCTGCCGTTCGTGGGCTCTCGTTCATCGCTGCCAAGAAATCTTCTGCCGTCAGCGCCAGCAAGTCGCACGCTCGTAGCGTGACGGCCGAATATTGACGGACGGCGGAGGCCATCAAGCCTTCGTCGCCAAAGAACTGCCCCTCTTCGAACCGCGATGGTTTGAAGTTTGGGGCGGTCGACACCGTCATGACCGTTCCGCTCGAGACAAAGAACATTGTGTGACCAATGTTGCCCTGGATGAGCACCGTCTCGCCGGCAGGGTAACCTACACGCGCGTCAGCAACCCACTTCTTCATCGAGACTGCATACCTTGAAAGACCAAGCGACGTACGAGCTTGTGAATGATTAAGTCGATTCCGCACTGCTGGACGGCAGGGCGTATGTATCGCACCGAAAAGCGTGATAGACTGCGCCGGGAAATTTCAAACACAGCGTGGCCACGGATGCGCGGCGGCAGCTGCTCGAGGACGGCTTGGTAGTTGACACCTTGTTGGAACGACCACCAGTACGACAGGTAGTTGTGAATGCGGACGTGGAGTTGCCGGGTCAAATGCTTCCGACCGAGGTACTCCATCACGTGCATTTGGTTGATTTTGAAGTCGACTTCGTTCTGAATCAAGTAGATGCACAACGTCGACCCTTCACCAATAACGTAGCCCATGACAAAGATCCCAAACACGTGCACAATGCAGTTGAATGCGTATTGCAACTGCGCCGTTGGCTCGTACACCATGCCGACCCCCGTGTACATGCACAGCGAGTAGTACATGCATCGAGCAAACTGGTGCATGGTAAAGAGCGCATCAAAACCTCCGGACACGCCCGTGGACTAGAAAAACTCTCTGTGAGATGCACTCGACCGTGACGACGGCTTCGACAGTACCTCGAAGTCGACGACGGGAAGCGACGACTCCCAAACGTTGCTGAACCCAACAGTACAAGCGAGGCCATAATACGCACACGCAGTCCAGTAGCAAATGATGAAGTAGTACAATGCCAGCAACTTGATCTTGTTGAGCTCGTGGGACATGCTGAAGCGTTCGAGCTCCCGGTACACGTGATTTAGTTGACGCAGCTTGAGCAGTCGAAGTAGGCGCAGCGGCGCCCCTTGGTTTACCACGACGGTAGCAAAAATGTGGTCGAACGGCAGAACCACAAGGACATCCAAGACAAGGCCAATTCGGGACGGACGCGGAATTCGATCGTAAAACTCAAACGATTCTGGAGTTTCGACAATGTGACACTTGAACCACAAGTCAAGGACACACACGACCGTGGCAGCGGTGTCCAGTCCCTGGTTGTCATGCCTCAGACGTGTTTTGAGCAAGGAGGACGGGACGTACCGACACTGCTGCTGTAGCCACAGTCGGAGTAATCGCCGCGCCAAACGCCACCATGTATGGTTCTCGCACGGCGACATACAACAGCGTGCACCGCACGAGATGCAAAAATCCGCGGTAGAATGGCGACTGGACTTCGATTTGTGTCACCGCCTTCACGACGTTCTCGAGCACTTGGTTTGGAGACACAAACCGGCATGTCCAGCTGGACGCGATGGTTTGAGTGATGTGTCGAAAGCACGTGCCCTCAACTGGGATCGGTCGGTACAATGCCGCGTCGACGTCGCCACGTGGCTGCGCCGATGGACTTTTGGGCTCAACGGATTCAACATGTATTTGACGGATTCTGTAGTACTCTTGGACGACTTGAATGACCTTGGCCTTCCACGCCGGGTAATGGACAAAGACAGATTCCAAGTGCGTCCGAGACAGTTTGTACAACGTACAGAACGTTTTCGCTTGGATGGTCGCTGTGCGCGGCTGGTCCGAGAACAACGCACGCTCGCCAAAGAACGACCCGGCGTGGAGCTCGTTGACTTTGGTACCAAATTGGGATGTCTCGAACGTGATCGAACTGTGACGGACAGCGGACATGTCCTTGTCGACTTGGGCCACGAGCACGTTCAAACACCCGACAAAGACAAAGTACATGTCGATCCCGACGTCGTGCTGGCGGCATACAATCTCATGGCGCGTCACCAGCAATTGGGCCAAGTGCCGGACGAGGAGGCGAGCGACATGCGAGTCGCTGTCGATCTCGTCGTGAAAGAAGGGCACCTTCCGCAACATGGGAGTCAACAGGAAAAGCCGGATGTCCCCGACAAGGTTTGGGGGAAGCGAACTCGTCAGGACATGCTCTTCATGGATGCTGTGGGCCAACCGATAAAAGTAAAAGTGCTGGATCTTGGTCCGGACGTCGTCGGTGAAGTCAAAATACCGCGTGAGCTTGCGGACGTACGTCAAGTTGCTGTAGAACAACTGGTTGTTGCCGTCCATGATTTGCGCGACGTCGAGCAAATTGCCCACGACATAAGCCAACAAAAACACCCCCACAGTTTGGACGACGATCTAGGAGAGGCGTGAGAGGTCGACAAGAGATAGTGGCACGTATTAACAGGCTTGACGTACTGTGAAGACAGCTTCCCATGGAGTCGCTGGGACGTCGCCTTTGTTGAACCCAAGCAGGAGGCCAAGTCCCCAATAAAACGCTCGCGTGTACTTGACCGTCGTGGACACGCCTGGATGATTCAACGCAATGTCCTGACTCGGGAGCCATGCATCTTTACCAAACGGACAGTCATCGTCGCCCCAGATCGTACAACCAAAGCTGGCAAAACCGTACCATGCACATCCAACGTAATGGGCGAGCAAGTACACAAAGAAGACGACCTTGAGCACACGAATCGGAATGCTGTGGGTGAAAAAGTAGTGCTCCAGCTTTTCAATTTGCCCAGGTAGCGTGAACAGTCGCACCAACTTGTGGAGACGCCACACTTCGGAGTGGTGGGTTTCGAATCCAGGAGCAACGATGTCCACGGGCAAGATCGCGACCACGTTCCAGACAAACTCGGCCGAGTGAAAATAGTTGTATCGAATTTTCGCCGCATCCGACACCTACAAGCCATCGTGGCCGCACAAATGAGCCACAGTTCTCGTCGTCACAACCATGCGCACCTTGTTTCCAAACGAATAGTACCCCGTGCGAGTCTTCAACACCATATCCAGGGCAAAAACGACTTCAACTATGACCGAGTACATGATGCGGGACGTCGCGCCAACCGTCGCGTAGCCAAACGCCAAAAAGAACGGAATTGCCACGACTTGCGTTGCCAGCACGAAAAAGAGCAGCGTGTCCCACGCGATGACGAATAGCGAGTCGGGGTCGAGGATGCCCCGTGGCTTGCGTTGGGACATCGCAGCCAACTCTGCTTGGTCGAGCAACCGCGTCATGGCTCTGTGCTCTGCGAGTAGTTTCTGTTCCCTCTTGAGCAAACCTTGGCAAAAGTTTGAATACTCTGCAGCGGCTGCCTTCAGCGTGTCTCGGCTGATCAGGGCGACAACGCAGGCAGCTCGAGCGACGGCGTTGTCAGCATGCACCGTACATTCACCGTCCAGGACGAGACTCGAGCAGCCAAATATTTCCCCTACCGACGCGGATCAATTTGCATTTTCCACCGACGACGATGGAGGCCCACGTACCGATCTTGACGTATCGCAGCGGCAACGCCGTCTGAGCAGCAGTATTCGACACCACCATGACATCTCCGGCCACGAGAACATAGAGTGCATCAGCATACTCGCCTTTATTGTAAACGAGTTCCCCTTGCGTGTACAAATTGACGACAAGGTTGTCCAGAATGAGTTCGCAGATTCGGTCAAAATGCGGCGCGATGTTGTCAAAAAGCTCGATCACGTCCAGAAATGGGGCGCAGATCAAGCCGTAAATGTCGCGTCGGATTGTGGTGGGCAGTTCACCGAGCAACGTGTTCATGTTGGCGCCGCGATGGGCGCTCCATCGAAAGTCCATGTATTCGGACACGCGCCGACGAATTTTGTGGGGTATCTTTTCCTTGTTGAAAAATTGCATCATGCGCGACCGCAGTGTCATAAACTGCAATTGCTCGACGGCAGACGCAGTCACACACTTCTGGACGTCGTCAATGAGCATCGAAATCAGCAACATGCCGCTCAACATGAGGCCCAGCGCCAGCACGAACTCTTCGAGAGCCTCCGGCTCGAGAATGTGCCCAAGGTCGGTCAAGCACACGGTGCCATACTGCAGTGCGCGTGTATACTGCCGCAGGATGCATTCACCGACCAAGGGGTCGGACAACGACACGAACCGCGCACCATCCATGTAGTCGTACCCAACCAAGTTGCCGGTTGAATTGTCCACAATCTTCACGAGGCGAATGGTCTTGGGCGGCAGCCACCCGTCATTCGAATCCCCATAGCCGAGGGCGAACGTCAACGAGTGCGCCATGCAACCGGCAATGTGATAACACAGGACAAGGCCAAGCCCAAGCAAGACTATGCGCTTGCGACTATCGATTCGGACGAATAAGCCCATTTCTTCCAGCTCGGCATGGAGGTGCAGCAGCCTAACGGTACCACATTACGGACAAAGGGTTGTCTTGACGCGGTTCGCACCTCAGTAGGCGAAACCCGCGCAGCGGGATGTGGAGCGACGGACACACAATCCACAGTGGAAATGTCGAGACCAAGTCGACCACGAAACCCGACTCGTAGTAGTGGTTGGCGCACTTGATGGTGTCGGCGACGTGTTCAGCTTCGTGCACAAACGTCAAGTTGAACTTGCCGTAAATATCGAGCCACAGCACGACATCGGTCAAGGTGTTGAGGATGAAAACGGAGACGGGATAGCCGACGAGGTCGAACACGTTGATAAACGGAACCACGACGATGTTGTAGACGGTGGTTGCCTATGTCAGAATGCATCAAGGGACGCGACCAGAGCAGTACAACAAACCATGACAGCAACGAGCCACACGAGTCGAACGGTGGACTTGCGGGGGATGGGTGTCTTCAAGAGGAGTCGGTACAGTCCAGAGTGGGTGCGCGTGGACAATTGGTCATGCTGGAAGTCCGAGATGTCCCCGATCGGCCCCACAAACCGTTTACTCATTCGCCGTTGTACCACGTCTTGTTTCGTCGTGGGTACCTTGGATGCCGAGGAGTCGTCGGCGCGAACGGCCCCCACTCCAATAGACTTCGACAATGACCGTTGTTGAATCAACATGCTCACTTTCCGTTGCTCCTCCGCGATGGTCGACACACACGCCAAAATTTGACCTTCGCACTCTGGGTAGCCCTGCATGACCATGCGGACATGCGCCCGCGACAGCTTTTGCAACATGCAAAACGTTGACGCAACAACTACATTGTCCAGTGCATGAGGACGGAATGGCCATGCGTGCTGTCGTCCGTACCAGTAGCGCTACGAATCTGGTTGATAAAGATGGCTTGTTCGCCAAAGTAATGGCCACTACGAAGCTCGCGCACCTGCACGACATTATGACAGTTTGTTCAACACGTGTGCCGAACCTTGACGTTGTCGACAATAACGACCATGACGCCGGACTGAACAAAGTACATGTCTTGCCCCACTTCGCCTTTTCGGCACAAGATGTAGTTGGTCGGGACCGACTGGGTCTCCATCAAGTCGATCAGGGCGCGGACGAACGTGGCGCGGCAATACTTGAAAAACGGGACGCTCGTGACCATCGACTGGAGTGTTGCGTATTTGATGTCCTGTGCAATGGACGGGCAAAGGAGTTTGAGCGTCTGGCGGTCGTTGGCTTCACCGCTTTTGAACCCATTCTAGGCAGGGATAGTGTAAATTAGTCCCCGCGCCAAACTCGTCGTCGCACCTTCAAATACTCGATGGCCCGATCTTGAATGTCCATGGGCACTTGGTGGAATGACATGATGTACTTGAGTTGGTTCAACTTTGCGTCAAACACTTCTGTGCTGTTGGCATCGCACTTCGAGATCATGAAGAGCGTGCTACAAATGTACACAAACAAAAGAAACCCCGTCACCATGACTGCCAGCATGAACACCGTTTGCAGCAACGTGCGGGGAATTTGTCCTTCAACACACTTGCACACAAGCCCCATTGCCCTGCAAAGCGTTAGCTCATGTGGTTGGAAAGTGCGGCAAGTAGTACCAGAAGAGGGACGCAAAGTATTCGGTCAAGAGTTGTTTCGTTTCTCCGTCTTGGATCGACGCAGTCAATCGCCGGCGGTGGTGCGCAGACGTTGAAGAGTCGTAGAGCTTCCATGCGTCGTCCACGGTGGACGGATCGCCCTTTTTGCCAAACGATGCGTAGATGCAAGCCATGACGTGGCATGAAAAGTAGACCACCACCACAGCTTTCACAACTTTACACAGTTTGTAGTACCGCGCAAACACCTTCAAGAAGTCGTCAACTTCGTTGTCGTTTTGTTCGTCGTACCTTGTCAACTTTGAGCGTGTACGCATGCACTTTTCGCAGCCGCAGCAGTTTGTTGACCAAGTCAAGACCGCACAGGTCGAGAGAGGCTGGCAAGAATGCTGCAAGCGGGAGGAGGGCAACGATGTCCAGAGGAAATCCCCATGACGCGACATAAAGACGTCGTATGACCTTGATGTCTCGAATGAGATTCCCGAAGAGGTAGACCCGCGAGTGCATTTGAACGTAGACATCGAGAAGAAAGAAGAATTCGCCTGCTGTGACGCCGACTTGGAGCCACGATGCATGGCATATTGCCGGGTTGAGCTGGCCAAAGCACGTGAGCAAAGGTACGATCCATGCGTCGTATAACACGACGACAAGCAAGAACGTATGCCACAGCTGCATCTTGGTCGAGTCGGGGTCGAAGGTCCGGGTCGACTTGTATGCAATCTCCCACGTCAAGTCCGTCCGCCGAATGTTCGAGATGCTGTTCATCGAGTTCGTGTCTCCGAGCATTGTCGGAGCCACCCGGCCGGAGGACCTGCCTGAGCCCTTGATAGTTGTCGACGACACCACCTTGAAGCTCATGTACGGGAGGTGAATCTCTCTTCGGGAGAAATGTCAATACCACATCAGCAGTTTTGCCAGGAACACCGACACCAACAACGTCCTCAAAATAGAACTAACGAAAGTACAGTGTTATGACATCATGGCCCAAATTTAAACCACGGCGGACATGATGGTTCACGCAGTAACAGATCTTCTCGATTATGTTGATGTCGCTGCGTTATCTCAGCGTATGATCCGTTGGCGCCTCCACGTTGGCACGGGTGTTGTGATGCGTCGTACGAGTGTATACATTTGGGCATGGTAATCCCATTACTGTGTTGGCCATCCGTCGGCAGGATTGTTTATGGAAGCGCCTCCGAAGGCAGCACTTGGCACATTATCTCGCCTTATTCCGTCTTGGGTACAGCAACCAAAACGTGTTGACTTGGCCCGTCCACTGAGCAGTCGACGAGCAACTTTGCCGGACCTTCTGTCGTTCCCGTGTCGTAGTTGGGGCTTATCTGGTGTAGATTGCGAGTGGCACCATCCTTCGTGGAAGGGACGTGCTGTATTGGGTCGACAAGCACAGGGCCTCCCGTCGAAATTTTCGCAGGCCATGGAGGAGTGCGTTGTGTCGCAGTGAGCGATGCGACCGGGGCTATTGATGTGACGTGTTGCTTCATCATGAGCTGGTTGGCATCGACGCTTGCTCGTCGCCTCGCAGCCGCCGTATCGAGGGGCTTGGTTTCTCGACATGAGCCGCCTTGGCTACGAGATGGGCGATCTTGCCACGCAGGCACAACTGCATTGCTCTTGCCCCCAAACAGGACAGTCTGGACGCCGTCGCGCAAGCTGATATTGCGACTTAGTCGCGAGGACCGTCGGTGATGGCTGTGTTTGGCGTGTCGTTTCGGCGCTTCGTGGTTTCCGCTTCCCTCAAATGACCCCGACATCATATCGCTCGACACGTGAATGACTCTGGAGCTAATTTCTTCAGGACGCCGATGCCGTTGCATGACCTGCTGCACAATGCCAAACATGCGGTCGCACAAACTCGCGGGGGGAGGGGGAGGTCCAGCCCTGACTTGGGTCAGCACTTGATGTGGTGCCGCGTTTCCTTGGGTCAATGATAGTAGCGGACGGGACATGGGTTTGTCCAACTTAGTCATGGTTTTGGTATGGAAGGCAAAGTACGAGTTGTCGTGGATGTCGCAGGCGCACTGGGGGCACAACACTTGATGACAAAGCTTGCAGTACTGGTCGGCGGACCGATCTTCGCAGTGCTGGCAAACCTCGATCGTAGTGTTGTCTGCGTCGACGACCCCGACCGGTCTGCTCAGGACAAACAGGTGGATAAAGTTGCCAAACATTACGTTTGCTGGTTCGAAGTCCATCAGGTTCAAATACTTGAGCTGGCAAATGTTTCGGACCAGCTCGTCGCACACCATCCGGCCGATGTTCATCGCACCAACTTGTCGACCGTTCAGGTCTTTCGACAGCCGAGCCGCAATGTCTGTGGCCACTTTGCAGCATTCTGACAGGCGAGGATGCTCATGCAACGCTGCCATGAGTGCACTCGCCGTCAGGGCCAACAAATCGCACGCTCGCAACGTCACGACCGAGTAGTGGCGTGCCGCATGATCGAACAAACCATCGTCGCCAAAGAACTGGTTTTCGTCGTACCGCACCGAGACAAAGTTGTGGCTCGTCGACACCGACACAAGCGCTCCTGTCGAGACAAAGTACATGGTGTGACCAATGTTTCCCTGCACAATGACGGATTCGCCGGTGGGGTACCCTACACGCAGTCACGTCAACATCGCTCGGCAATTCTGAATCGACATACCTTCGTAAACCAAGCGATGGGCTATGCTGTGTATGACTGGATCGATGCCCATGGGGGTATGGTGGACGAGCGGACGAATGTACCGCACAGCAAAGCGAGACAAACTTCTCCGTGCAACGTCGATGTTGGCCTGGGCACGTATACGACTGGGCAGCTGTTCGAGAATCATTTGGTACGGCACCCCGTTTTGAAAAGCCCACCAAAATGTCATGAATTTCTGGATGCGCGAATGGAGGTGGACGTCGACGCGTTTTCGAGTCAAAAAGTCCATCACGTTCATCTGGTTGATCTTGTAGTCGACTTCGTTTTGAATGAGGTAGATGCACAACGTCGAGCCTTCGCCGATGATGTATCCCATCACGAAGACACCAAACACGGCTACGATGCAGTGGAATACAAAGTGTAAACTCACCGTCGGTTCGTACACTCGTCCGGACCCCGTGAAAAAATTCACGCCGTAGTAACAGCATCGCGCGAATTGGTGGAGCGAAAACAGTACGTCCGAGCGATTCGTCGACGACTACAAACGCATGAATTCGACGGCACACGCTCATCACCGTCACAACTACGTTGTACGCACTTGAAAATATTCGTGCGGTAGCGACGAGTTCCATTGGGTGCTAAACCCCACGACGAACGTCAACCCAAAGAATGCACATGCCGTCCAGTAACACAGGACGCTGTAATACAGTGCCATTGTCTGAAGGCGATGCAATTCGTACGACATGCTGAAGCGCTGGAGTTCGCCAATGACATGGGCCAACTGACGAAGCTTCATGAACCGGTTGAGACGCCAAATATACGCGTTGCCGGCGACGGGGGACACGGCATAGTCGATTGGAACGATCGCGAGGATGTCCAAGGCGATGCTCGTGCCTTCGTAATGATACGAATGTTCGTAAAACTCGCGCGACACCGTCGTTTCGACGACGTGGCTCTTGAACCAAATATCACAGGCAAACACAACGTCCGACAGGATGTTGAGCGCCTAGTCAGGAACGTGTGAAGGGACCGGAAACAGTTTGCGACACAAATTACCACGATAGCGATGCTGATCGAGGACGTGTCGGCGGATTGTCCAAACGTAACAAAGTACGGCACGCTCAGGGCAATGTACAACAATGCGGCACACAACATCACGAGAAAGACGCGATACCAACGCGACTGGATCTCGATCGACATGAGGTTTCGTTTCCACGTGTGCCTCCACGGTGCGGTCACGACCACGTCGTTGTCCTCGAACCCCGACGACAGGTTGTGAATGCTGCACGCACTTTCGACGGGTCCTTTGGTCGACCCATTCTGTCGAATGCCTTCGGTCTTGTGGCCAACGGCTTCACTTGCCAACCGCTCGCGATACGCCTTGGCTTGAACTTCGTAAATCTTGGTTACAATTTGCATGACCTTGACCTTCCATTCAGGATGTTGCGCAAAGACCGATTCCAAATGGTTGCGCGATAACCGGTACAACGTGCAAAACGTCTTGGCCTCGATCGACGCGTTGCGGGGCTGGTCCGAAAACAACGACTTTTCGCCAAAAAACGACCCGGCCACGATTTCGTTGACCTTAGTACCGCGATGGTTGACGAATTCAATGCCGTGGTTCCCGTGCACTTGGGAAGACGCCACGTACACCTCCAAACACCCCGTGAAGACAAAGTACATGTCGACGCCAATTTCGTTCTGACGGCACACAATTTCATGGCGAGTCACGAGGACTTGGGTCAACTGGCGCACCAACGACCGCGTAATGTTGGAGGTCGCCGTCTCGTTTTGGAAGAACGGGACTTTTTTCAACATGGGCGTCAACAAGAACAGCCGAATGTCCGCGACGAGCGACTGCGGCAAGCACTGGGTCAGGACGTGCTCTTCATGAATGCTATGAAACAACCGGTAAAAGTAATAGTGCTGGATCTTGGCCTTGACGTCGTCGGAAAACTCAAAGTACTCGGTCAGCTTTCGAACAAAATTCAAGTTGCTGTAAAACACGCGATTGTTGCCTTCCGTGACGCCCACGATGTCAAGGAGGTTGCCGATGAGGTACGCGAGCAGAAACACGCCGACGGTTTGGACAACAATCTGTACAACACACTCGAAGCGATGAGATCGAGTCGTCGGGCGTTGCAGCCAGACGTACTGTGAAGATGTACTCGGGGATTGTTTCGGGGTGCTCGCCCTTGTAAAAACCGAGCGACAGCCCCAAGCCCCAAAACAGGACGCGGAGGTATTTGTGCATTTCCGACGTGTTGGCATTGGCGACATCCATGTTCTTGTCGGGAAGCCACGGGTACCGTCCGAATTGGTTCTCGCCATTGTAATCCATGACGTCGGCCGCATCGCTTGCAAAGTTGTACCACGTACACCCGATAAAGTGGGCGAGGAGGAACGTGTAAAAGACGAGCTTAAACACTCGGATGGGAATGCTGACGTTGTAGTAGTGCCGCTCGAGATTTTCGATACGCGACGACAACTTGAGCAGACGTACGAGTTTGTTGGCGTTGAGCCATTCCATACGTTTCGACGTGACGACGTTGACGAGGTCCACGGGCAGCACAGCCACGACATCCATCACGAACGTCATCGAGAGCAAGTACCGTTGGCGTATTTTGACCTTGTCCGTCACCTAGGTAATTGCGTCAGAGCACACTGCCTACAGGCAAACACGTCCATCGCACCTTGTTTCCAAACGAGTAATACCCGGTTCGCGTCTTGAGCACGATATCGACAGCAAAGAGGACTTCGACCACGATCGCAACCATGTCGCGCCCGTTGATCGTTGGGGCGACTCCAAACGCCAACAAGTACGGCACTCGGATCAGCTGAAACACTGCTCCAAAGAACAGGATAGTCTCCCATGCGACGGAAACATTGGAATCGGGGTCGATCGTCCCGTTGTTTTTTTGACTAGTCAATACAGCCAATTCTTTCTGCTCGAGTAACCGCGTCATGGCCCGGTGCTCGGCCAGCAATTTCTGTTCCTTCTTCAGCAAATTGGTGCAAAATGTAGGGAATTTCGCATTCAACGATTGAATGGTTGGTCGATCGACCAACGCGACGACGCAAGCACTTCGAGCGATGGCGTTGTCGACGTGAACTCCGCAGTCCTTTCCCATGTACAAACTCGAGCAGCCAAAAATCTCGCCTTGACAAATTCTGTCAGCAAAGCGCATGCCACGACAAACGTACCTGGCTTCACGTATCGCTGGGGCATGGCTTTGGAAGACCGCGTGTTGGCGACCAAGACGATGTCACCGACCAACAAGACGTACAACGCATCGGCGTAATCTCCCCGGCGGTACATGATCTCCCCTTGGCCGTACAAGTGAATAACCACGTTGTCGAGGAACAGTCCGGTCAGTTGTTCCAAGTGCGGCTTGATGCCGTCCATTTGTTCCATCAAGTCCAACACTGGAGCACAAATAGAGCTGTAAATGTCGCGCCGGATGCTGTTGGGCACCTCTCTCAACATCTCGTTGATGTTCGCGCCACGGTGAATACTCCACCAAAAGTCCATCGACGACGAAACTCGGCGATGGATCTCCAGCGGCGCCTTTTGGATGTGCAAAAAGTGCATGACGCGCGATCGTAACGACAAAAACTCCATCTGGTCCAAGTCGGACGCCGTCACGCGTTTCTGGACTTCATCAATCACAAGCGAGATGACGAGCATGCCGCTGAGCATGAGCACCACCGCCAAAACATACTCTGGCAGGACGTCGGGCTCCAACGTCAGGCTCAGACTCGTGAGACACACTGCCCCGTTGTGGAGGCTTCGCACGTACTGCTTGACAAGCACTTTGGTCACCAACGCGTCGTCCACCGGCACAAACACGGAACCGTCCATGTAGTGATACCCTATCAAGGCACCGGTGGTTTCGCTGAACACGTTGTCCAGCTGGAGAGACTTTGGCGGCAGCCATCCGTGCGAGTTGGAGGTGAATCCCATCGCAAACGTCAACGAGTGGACCATACACCCGGCAAAGTGGTAGCACACGAAGAGGCCTATGCCGAGCAGGACAATGCGCTTTCGACTGCCAATAGGTACAAACTCCTCGACTTCAGTCAAGTTGGCCTGCAAATAGACGCATCTACGTTTGCGTGTGACACCTCGTGTGGGGTACACGGACGGATTCTACCTCAAGAGGCGGCAAAACCGAAACAGCGCGTGGTGCGACGGACTCATGACCCAGAACGGGAAGGCACAGAGCACGTCAAAGAAGAACGTCGATCGCAAGTACCGCTGCGCGCATTGGACGGTGTCGACGATTTCTTCGGCTTCGACCACATGCGACAAGTGGAAGTTCAGATAAATATCAACACAAAGCACGACGTCCGCCACAGTGTTGAGAACGAGAACGTGGGTCGGGTACCCGATGAGCTGAAACGTGTTGACCAAGGGAACCGTGATGGTGTTGTATAGATTCGTGAGCTAGAGCAACACGTCATTGCGACATCCCAACGACAACAAATCGATGGTACCATGACGCAGACGAGCCAAACGAGGCGAAATTTCGACTTGCGATGGATGGCGTGCTTCATCAAGCAATGCTGAAGCTTCCATTCGCGCATGTGTCTTATGCAACGCAGCAACAACATGGACTTGACGATGCCTTGATCCTGCGACAGATGCGACAGTCAGCAACTTGGGTTAGCGCGGATGGGTCTACCTTGTCCTTTGATGTCACGCCTTGGCCTAGCGCCACAACCGACGTTTGTTTGAACTCGACAAAGTGCATGCTTGACCGTCGCATGCTGCCTCCGAGAGCCACCGGACTTGCCACGACGACTGGATCAACTGAATTGGACGCCGTGACAAGGTTTTGAGCAAGAAGATGGTTCTTGGCACTGCCCAGGTGCTGCCGCAAGGAGCGCCAGTTCGCAGCCGCCTTGATGGGCTTCTTGGCGCGGGTTTGCTTGGGGTCGGACCCGTCCCGATCGCGTTCAGCCAACATGGTTTTTACGCACGCCATGATCTCCGACTTGAACTGTGGGTACGCCCGTAGAACACGGTGGATGTGGCTTCGCGAGAGTTTGTGTAGGATGCAAAACGTTGCAGTTGCCACTAGAATGACCATGACGAGATCTCGTAGAGGTCGACACACGAACCTGTGGTCGACCGAACTTGGTTGGAAAAGAGGGATAACTCGCCGACAAACCCGCCTTTTCGAACCTCTCGAACCTGCGGCGACTTGTTTAGAATCGACTGCCTTGCCGGTGAAACCACGAGCGAGATATGCCTCACCTTGGTGTCGTTGTGGAGCACGGCGAGCACACCAGACTGGACAATGTAGATGCCAGTTTCGTGGTCGCCAGCCTTACTGACAATAAAGTTGGTTGGAAGCGACTGCGTCTCCATCAAGTCGATCAATGCTCGAAGCACGGCGGCGCTGCAGCACTTGAAAAACGGCACTCCCAACGTCATGTCTTTGAGCAGCGAGAACTTGATGTCTTTCGAAATGGACGGGCAGAGTAATTTCATCGTGTTGCGATCATTCGATTCCCCGCTCTTGAACCCGTTCTAGAAACGCTAGATGATGAAACACGCACGAAAATGCATGCGACACACCTCCAAGTACTCGATCGCGCGCTCTTGCACACTCGACGGGACTTGGTGGTACGACAATGCATGTCGAAGCTGGTTGATCTTTGAATTGAATCGCTCCGTGCTGTTGGCGTCGCATTTCGATATCATAAACAAGGTCCCGCATATGTAGACAAAGAGCAAAAATCCCCCCAGCATCACAACTATTGTGAAGAGAGTTTGGGCAAGTGTGCGCGGGATATCTCCTTCTACGACTTTGGACACAAGCCCTTGGGACCTAATCCCGTATTCAAACGCCGTTTGTGCTGTGGAACGAGGTGCTTACCAAAAGAGGGCCGAAAAGTACGTCGTGAGCACATGCTGGTGTTCTAAGTCCTCGGACCCGTGCAATTTCCAGTACCCTTTCTCGGGGGACATGCCAAATGCTGCGTAAAGCGACGCCATGTAGTGACAAAAGAAATGAATGACCACGACAGCCTTGACAACTTTGCAAAACGTAAAGTACCGCGCCAAGACCTACTGCGTCGTTCAAGACAACAAACGTATACACGGAAAAGTCGGTCACCTTGTCGAACGCAAGGGTATACACGGGCAGCTTGTGGAACCGAAGAAGCTTGTTGGCGAGGTAGATGCCGCTCGTGCTCCAAAACACCCACGGCAGCGGCACGATGGCGGCAACGTCCATGACAAACCTCCGCGACTTCAAGTACCTTCGCTGCGAGCTCTTGGCGTTTCGAATCAAGTTGCCCATGTCGTAGTACCCCATGCGCGACTGGACGTACATGTCAACCGCGAACGGAACCTCCAACACACACGTGAGCTTCATCAGCCACGACCCGTCCTGGAGTTCGGGATGGATGTGTTCAAAGCACACGAGGAACGGCACGACCCACGCCTGAATGACGATGCACAACAACAGCACCATCTGCCACAGCAGCATCCTGAACGCGTCCGGGTCAAACGTTCCCGTCTTCGTGTACGTGATTTCCCACGACAACTTGCTACGACGGAGTGTAAAGCTGTTGCCTGATGCGTGGGACGCGTCTCCAAGAAGCACGGGTGCCACCCTGCTCGATCCTGTCGCAGATGTCGCGACCATCTTGCCGCCCATGGGGCCACCAAATTCGTGTGTCTGGTCGACGCAACCGCCTTCGGTTACTCCATTCACCTTAACATGCCGGGGGTTACTCTCTGACCATCATGCAAAGTTTGGAGACGCAGGCATTGTTGGTGTGTGTGTGTGGTTTCGAGCTGCAGTAACTCGATCTGACCAGTACTGCCATTGATCTTAACACCACGTGGGTACTACGAGGACGTCGTCAAAACGTCGGGGTCCCCACCTATGGACAGTTGAAGCGAATCCGTGGCGCAGGCCACTGCGCCAGTTGAGTGGGGAGGTGGCGGAAGCAAGGTAGACTCGGCAGTGACTGGCGCTGCGTCAGCTGACGATCGTATGTCGATGTTTGGTCTTGGTATGTTTAGCATGCCGCGCTTGAATTCGTCAACAAGGGCGTCGGGCATAATGTGACCGGGCGCGATCGGGGGGGTATGGCGCGTGACCGAGTGTTTCCTCGACCCTCGGCGAGAGTTGGCGCGTTGGATGTTCTTGACGGTGTCGCTACGCGCGTCCGCCTCAGTCACCATGGTGCTTGGAATCGCAATCACGTGTTTTGACGCGAATCGTGGCGACGTGTCTCCAGCGACTTGAGTTGCCGGCATCACGTGATTCTTTTTGAACTTTTGAAGCGACTGCACTATGCCCGCGAGACCGTAGCTGCTCGACGACCGTGCTGGAGTGGGCGGTTCCTGCGTGTGCAATCTCGTAATGGAATCGAGATGGTGGGCAAAGTGCGTGTTTTCATGGATTTGCCGAGAGCAGTCGTCGCATAGCCCTTGTGGACACAGTCGGCAATACAGTGTCGCAAGCAGGTCTTCGCAGTGTTGGCACTGGGCTTGTGTTCCGTGGGGCATGGCATGTTCATCGTGCAATAAGTTGTCGGGCATTTGGCGGACAAACAGCCGAAGGAAATGGCGAAACATGACTTCGGCGCGGTCAATCGACGACATCTTGACATGCTGCAACTCTGCCTTTTTTCGTTCCATCATGTTGTACACACAGTCGCCGACATCGCTTGCGCCATGCAATTCCTTGAGCGTAATGTTATGATTGACAATCGTGTCCCATGCAATGGCGACGCATTCGGCAAAGTGAGGGTGCTCGCTGAGCGCCATGAGAAAATCCGATGACGTGAGGGCAAGCAAGTCACAAGCTCGCAGTGTCACGACAGAATGCCGACAAAAACTCGACGCCAGGAACCCCTCTTCGCCAAAGAATTGACCATCGACATATCGAGTCGAGGAAAAGTCTGGTGCGGCGGACGCCGTGACCAGGTTGCCCTTGGACACAAAATACATGGTCTGGCCAATATTGCCTTGAACGATGACAGACTCGCCCGCGGGATAGCCTACGTCAAGTGTTGTCAGCGACGGCGGGCGGCAATGGATGCAAACTTTACTTTCAAAAACCAAACGGTTGGCAATGCTGTGCATGACAAGGTCGACGCCCATGGACGCGTCGCACAACGGGCGAATGTACCGCATGGAAAACCGCGCGAGACTCAAGCGGGCCATTTGGATATACGCTTGCGACCGAATTCGTGGCGGGAGTTGCTCAAGAATCGTTTGGTACGCTACGCCTTGCTGGGTCGACCACCAATAGGACAGGTACATGTGGACGCGCGAGTGCACGGACCTATCCATGCGCTTCCGAACCAAGAACTCCATTATGTTCATTTGGTTGATCTTGAACTCGACTTCATTCTGAATGAGGTAAATACACAACGTCGACGCTTCGCCGATGACATAACCCATCAAGAACATCCCGAACACGGTCACAACGAAGAGGAAGATAAAGTCGATGGCTGCATGGGGTTCATTGACGAGCCCTGCCCCCGTGTAGATCGTCGCAGCGTAGTAAAAGCACCGCAAAAATTGGTGGATGGCAAACTCGAGGTCGTAGTCGTCCTTGTGGTTGAGTGACTAGCATGAAAAACGCCGTGTCAGCTTGTCAAGGCGCATCGGTAAAGCATCGTACGTCAAAGTATTCGACAGGAAGTGACGAATTCCACTCGGCCGAGAAACCAACGACGATCGTCAGTCCAAAGTACGCGCACGCGGTCCAGTAGCAAATGATAAAATAGTACAGCGCCAGGAGCTTGAGCCGATTCAGTTCGTACGACATGCTGAAGCGGTGGATTTCACTGATGGTGTGCGTGAGCTGACGAAGTTTGAGAAAACGGTTGATGCGCAGCAGTGCCGAGTTGGTTACGACCGACGAATAGATGTAGTCGATCGGGAGTACTGTCACGATATCGACAAAGACGCCAGTCTTGTCCCGCGTGATACGGTGTTCGTAGAACTCCCGTGACGCCACCGTCTCGACCAAGTTCCACTTGAACCAAATGTCAAACGTAAACACAATGTCCGTGACGATGTCCAAAACCTGTCAATTGCGACGGAATGAGGACGAATGGAGGATGCATGGCGGAGTGAATCGAGTAGACATACCAACATGACCCTCGAGATGTGCGTCCTTTCTTGGCCACGACCAAATGTGATAAAGTACGGGATGCTGAGGGCGGTATATAACAACGACACGGACAAAATATTCAAGTACCGCACGTAAAACCTCGACTGGACCTCGACGACCTTGAGCAGTCGCATCGTGCTTCGGAACCATGAATTCACCACCGACGCCGACGCGGCGTGCTCCGTTTCTGTTTTGGATGACGACTGTCGTGCCAACCGACCTGCAAGATGGCTGCTATTCCGGTGGTCCTGGTCATCCTGGAGGCTCCGTCGACTGTTTATCACGCGCGCTTCGCTCTCGCCATGGGCTTTGTCGTGCTTGTCTTGCTCGATTTGGGCTTGCTGCTTTTCGTAAATGGCGCTCACAATTTCCATGACGGTGACCTTCCACTCGGGGTGCTGGGCAAACACGGACTCGAGGTGCTTCCGGGACAGCCGGTACAACGTGCAAAACGTCTTGGCCTGGATCGTCGCGTTGCGGGGTTGATCGGAAAAGAGTGATTTCTCGCCGAAGAAAGACCCTGCCTGCAGCTCGTTTACTTTTAACCCGATATGGGGCGAATCCACTTCGTGAAATGTAACTTCGGTCGCCACAAACACTTCCAGGCACCCCGTAAAGATAAAGTACATTTCGATCCCAATTTCGTTTTGTCGGCACACGACTTCGCCACGCGTGACGAGAATTTGGGAAAGCTGGCGAACGAGCGACCGCGTCACGTTAGAGCTGGCGTTCTCGTCGCGAAAGAACGGGACTTTCTTGAGCATGGGCGTGAGGAGGAAAAGGCGAATGTCGGCAACGAGGGACGGCGCCAAGCAATGCGCCAGCACGTGCTCTTCGTGGATGCTGTGGAACAACCGATAAAAGTAAAAGTGCTGGATCTTGGCCTTCACGTCGTCGGTAAACTGAAAGTACGTTGTCAGCTTGCGTACGTAGTTGAGGTTGCTAAAGAACATGCGGTTGTTGCCTTCCATGACTTGGACAATGTCGAGGAGGTTTCCGACCACATACGCCAGCAAGAACACGCCAAAAGTCTGGGCGACCATCTACATGCACGCATTCGTCGACAGTGTCAGGGTGACGACATCCCGACGTCCGTGCGTACCGTATACACGTATTCGATCGGAGTTTCGGGGTATTGACCTGGTTCAAACCCGAGCAGAAGTCCCATGCCCCAATACAACGCGTGAAAGTATTTGCCCAATGTCGAGAGGTCGGTGTTGGCGACGTCGAGCTCTGTGCCAGGAAGCCACGGGTCTTTGCCAAACTGGGTCTCTTGAATGAATCCAAACAAGGTCGACGCGTTGCTGGCAAAGTTGTACCACGTACACCCAATGTAATGCGCCAGCAAGTAGATGTAAAACACGAGCTTGAAAATCCGAATTTGGATGTTGATCGTGTAGTAGTGCCGCTCCAAGTGCTCGATCTGCGACGACAGCTTGAACAGACGCAGGAGCTTGTTGATGTTCCACGCCTCGGATCGCTGGTCCCGCGTCACGTTTACCAAGTTTAGTGGAATGACTGCGAGCACGTCAATGACAAAATGGAGCGACCGCAGGTACCGCTGTTGGATTCGCGTCCTGTCCATAACCTAGCCTCCATCAGACAAGCTCCTTCTTTGCACGCCGTACGAACCTTGTTGCCGTAAAAGTGAAACCCCGTCCGGGTTTTCAAGAAGATGTCGGCGAGAAAGCATGTCTCGAGCACGATCGAGAGTCCATCGGACGGTCCGATGTCTTGTTCGTTAAACCCAAACGCCATGTAAAATGGCACACCGATGCTTTGGAAAACCATGCCAAAGAAGAGCAGCGTCTCCCACGACACGGAAAAGGTCGAGTCCGGATTGATCACGAACGGTTTCTTCTTTGACCCGAGCGCGACAAGTTCCTGCGGATCGAGTAACTTGGACAAGGCGCGGTGTTCGCCAAATCGCTTGGTTTCCCGAACCATGAGGGCGTCACAGAACGACGGAAACGCTTGATTTATGAGCGCCAGCGTCGAGCGAGACACGACCGCAACCACGCACGCACTTCGGGCGAGGGCTTGGTCGTTATGCACAACGTTCTCGTTGTCGAGATTCAAACTCGACACACCAAAAAAGTCTCCTGCACCATGCACACACAAAGGAGAATGAGGCCATGCTGTTTCCATCACCATGCAGCGTTTGCATACCGTGTTTCAGCGATCGGACGGGTCGCGTTGCCGACGTGCGAGGGTTGTGTCCGACACCACACTGCCCAACAAGCAGGATCAACAGCGCATCAGCATAGTCCCCGCGGCGGTAGATCATTTCGCCTTGTCCGTACAACTGAATGACCAAGTTGTCGAGGAGAATGCCCGTCACGCGTTCGATGTTTTCGCCGATTTTGTCGATTCGCTCGATCACGTCGAGAACGGGGGAGCAGATGAATCCGTAGATCTCGCGCTGCATGCTGTTGGGCAGCTCGCTAAGGAGCTGATTGATGTTGGCGCCTCGATGGGCACTCCACCAAAAGTCCAAGTACGATGCCACGCGGCGGTGCATCTCGACGGGGGCTTTTTGTTTGTGTAAAAAGTGTAAGATCCGCGACCGCGTCGACAGAAACTCCATTTGTTCGACGGCGGATGCCGTGACTCGTTTTTGAACTTCGTCGATGATGATCGAGATGACTAACATGCCACACAACATGAGCACGAATGCAAGGATGAACTCCCACAGGTTCTCGGGCTCCAACGGCCGCCCCAAATTCGTCAAGCACACCGCGCCGTACTGAAGAGCTCGCAAATACTGGTTGAGAAGGACGTGGCTGACCAACGCATCGTCGACAGCGACGAATCGGTCGTCCTCTCCAAAGGTATACCCCACCAGCTCCCCCGTGGTATTGTTTAGGATTTTCTCGAGTTGGAGCGACTTGGGTGGAAGCCATCCATGGTTGTTCTCGCCAAATCCTGACACGTACACGAGGGCATGTGCCATGCAGCCCGCAATGTGGTAGCACAGGAACAGTCCAACCCCGAGCACGAAGATGCGCCGCCGACTGTTGATCCGGACAAAAAGCGCCACTTCCTCGAGTTCGTCCGAGAAAGTGTAGAACCTAGCCGTTGACGAGCGTCATGGCGGGACCTCGAACGGGAAAGGTAGCGTCGTGCGTACCGAAGAATTCGGGCAAATCGAAACTTGAGGTGCAGCGGAGGATACACCATCCACCATGGCAATGCACACATGACATCAAAGTAAAATGATGTGCGTAGGTAGTGCTGTGCGCACTTGGCCGTGTCCATGATCTGCTCGGCCTCCTCGACAAAGGACAAGTTGAATTTGCCGTAAATATCCAGCCAAAGCACTGCGTCCGCCAACGTGTTGAGGAGGAGGATGGACAAGGGGTATCCGATCAGTTCAAACGTGTTGATCAGCGGCACCGTCACGACATTGTACAACGACGTGGCCTGGCGCGCGTTGAGAGCAAGCGAACGACAGAGACAAGCCATCACGAGTGCGTACCATGACGCAGAGAAGCCAGACGAGTCGAACACGAGCTTTGCGGTTGATGGCCGACGGCAGCAACAATTGTTTCCATTTCATTTTCAATGTCTTTTTCCACCACACCTTTGTACGGGCGACGACGGTCGCGTCTCCAAAGGTAAACTAGCCGAAGGGTTCACGACGGAACAACTCGACGCAGTTTACACATACCTGCATCGTAGGTCCAGCGTCAATCGCCGTCGGCATCGCTGGGATTGTCTCGACAAAGCGGTGGCTCAAACGGCGTTTACTGGATGCATCCATCGACGGAACGTCGTGGTTGACAAAGTTCCCGTAGGCTTGGGCTCGCTTGTTGACCGATTCCAGTTGCATCGAGCTCAACCGTCGAGCGAGTTGATCGTTGTGGAGGTCCATTTCCTCGAGTAGGGCCTTGACACACGCCAGGATTTGCGTTTCGAATTGCGGGTACGCGCGCAACACTCGGCGGACGTGCGATCGCGACAGCCGATGGACAATGCAAAACGTAGCCGTGACCACTACGCCGATCGAAAAGTCCCAAGGTCAACCATGACCGCGACAAGTTTGCCAACGATCGCGTCGTCGTACCGTTGGCCGTTCGAACTTGGTTGGTGAACAGCGACAATTCGCCAAAGAACCCACCCTTTCGTAGTTCGCGCACCTGCCATTGGGGTAAGCGATCGTGCGGGACGCGAACGATGGCAGTACCTTGATGTTGTCGATCAGGACGGCCAACACGCCCGACTGTACAAAGTACATGTCTTCGCCTTGCTCTCCCTTGCTGCAGACAAGGTAGTTGGTCGGCAGCGACTGCGTCTCCATCAGGTCAATGAGGGCGCGGGTGAAGGCGGCATTGCAGCACTTGAAAAACGGCACGTTGGCCACCATCGCCTTGAGGAGGGTAAACTTGACGTCTTTCGCAATCGACGGACAGAGAAGCTTCATCGTGGTGCGGTCGTTGGCGTCGCCGCTTTTGAAGCCGTTCTGTGTTGGCAAGTTTCGAGTCAAGAGGCGTCGAGATGGACACCCGACGCATACCTCGAGGAATTCCATCGCGCGCTCTTGGATGTTGTGGGGAACGTGGTGGAAAGACAGGACGTAGCGAAGCTGGTTCAGCTTGGCGTCAAATCGCTCCGAGCTGTTGGCGTCGCATTTGGAAATCATAAAGAGAGTGCCGCAAATGTACACAAAGAGCAAGAACCCGCCCATCATGACGACCGCCATGAACGCCGACTGAAGCAGCGTCCGAGGTGTTTCGCCTTCGACGCATTTGGACACGATCCCGAGCGACCTACGGCATGCGTTGGACACCGTGTCGATGGTGGTTGTGTTGTACCAGAAGAGGGCGGAAAAGTACTCGGTGGGGAGGCGATGGTGTCCATCGTCCGAGTGGTGGCGCATCTTCCACACGTTCTCGTCCCCGTGACCGCCCCCCGACTCTCCAAACGCCACATACACACAAGCCATGTAATGGCTGCTGTAGAACGATACCACGACGACTTTTACGACTTTGCAAAACTTGAAATACATGGCAAACACCTACGCCATCCATGAAGTTGGTGCAAGGTCAAGTCGCCTCGCACCTTGTCAAAGTCAAGCGTGTACGCAAAGATGCTTCGTAAGCGAAACAACTTGTTGAGGAGGACCAAGCCACAACCATGGTTGAATGGAATGTTGAAAAACGGCAGTGGAATCAACGCGATCACGTCCACGGGAAACTGGAACGACGTCAGGTATCGCCGACGGGTGCTGGCCGGGGAGCGCACGAGGTCGCCAGCAATGTAGTACCCCATGTGCATTTGGACAAAGATATCCGCGACAAAGAACAGGTCAAACGCCATGACGACTGTGGTGAGCCAGGTTTCGTGGCAAACATCGGGATCGATCACGTAGAAACACAGGAGTAACGGGACGACCCACGCGTCATAGAGCACAAGGAGGAGAAGCCACGTGTTCCATATCGACACCTCCATCGAATCCGGGTCGAACGTTATGGTTTTGCGACGTGCGATTTGCCACGAAAGCGACCCTTGCTCTAGCACGAAGCTTCTGTCGGCATCCGCTTGACGGCTGAATCGACGAGGTAGTAACGCATTTCCCAACGACCACCGCACGGCGCTGGTGGAACTTGAGGACACAGGCATCCCGGTCGATGTCACCACCGGCTGCACACTGGATCGTGCTCCCATGTGCCACGCCGGCCACGACCCTGCCCCCTGGTTGCGGTTTCAACACTCCACAAACGGTTACCCATTTCGGTGTGGAAAATAGCTGTTTCTCTTTGCAAGCTATCGCAGTTTATCGTTCCCATGGCTGTATCTACTTGATAGCTCTGGTCGACTGCGTCCAGCGGTACGGGCGCGGCGGACGCTCTGCAGTCTCATGTGAGCCCATCACCATTGTCCAGTCTCCCTTGATTGGCTCGTTGAGTCTTGTATTTAAATAATTTATCCAAAATTTTATCTCCAAGGAAATATTGGTGATTTGAATGAAGAGGTGGGTTGATTGGCTGGAAGATTCTGACCAATCCTAAGGGTTTCTAGAATTCTTTAGCCAATCAAATTCGTTCCTGAAAACCTTGGACTGTGGTGGTGTTCATTGCCGGTTCCGTTGCTGAGCTGACGCCGCCACACAGGACGAGATGCCGCCGAAGAAGGGAAAGAAAGCCGCGCCCGCCAAGAAGACGGGAGGCGCCGACGATGAGTGGGACGATGTTTTGAACGAATTCGCTACAACGACCAAGGTCGACGTGCCACCCCCAGCACCCGTTCAGGCCCCTGTCGCTGCCGACAAGCCAGACACTTCGGTGGACGATGCAGTCGCAGCAGCGTTGGCCAGTATGGGCATTTCAGCTGCCGACGCTGCAGACAAGAAGAAGAACAAAAAGAAGGACAAGAAGAAGAAGGATGGAGATAAGGCGGATGCCCCGGCAGCTACCGCTGCGGCACCTGTCGCCGAAACGAAGGGCCCCAAGAAGCCTCTTTCGGCCGCTGCAAAGGCACTTCAGGAACGCCAGGCCGCTCTGAAAGCCGAAGAAGAACGCTTGAAGAAAATACAAGAGGAAGAAGATCGCAAGTTCCGAGAGGCAGAAGAAGCTCGGTTGGAAGCGATTCGCAAAAAGGAAGAGCTGGCCGAACGGAAGCGTTTGGCGAAGAAGGCCAAAGTTGACGCCCAGAAAGCGGACGGCACGTACATGACCAAGGCGCAAAAGGAAAAGGCCAAGCGCGCTCAGGCTGCGTTGGAGGCGATGAAGGCACAGGGATTGATTGAGATCGCCGCAGAAGGTGGTGGGTTGAAGCCCAAGGTCACGTACGACAACAAAAAGAAACCCAAGGCTGCCATCAAGGAAGAGGAAGCGAAACCTTGCCCGGCTGTGGTCGAAGTGGACGCGCCGGATGCTTGGGATGCCAGCGATGACGAGGACAAGGAGCAAGCCAAGGGCGAGGCCGACGACGAGGAAGAAGACGACTGGGACGCCAAGGACTGGGACGACGATGAAGTCCTCGACAAGATCGGTCTGAAGGTCCAAGAAGCCGACTACGGCGACGTTGAGGATCTGATTGAAGTCGAGCGCCTCAAGGAACAAGAGCGTCTCCGAGAGCAAGGTCTTGCATTGGCTAAGCGCCAGGCAGAACAGGAGGCCGAAAACGCCAAGGCTGCCGAAGAGGAACGCAACCGGTCCAAGCTCCGCCAGGAAGAGGACCGGAAGAAGCGCGAAGCGGCTGAACGCCGCCGCATCCGTGAAGACGAAGCGCGAGCGGCGGTGTCACTTGACAACCTTCGTTCTCCCATCTGCTGCATCATGGGCCACGTCGACACTGGCAAGACCAAATTGCTAGACAACATCCGCAGGACCAAGGTTCAGGACGGCGAAGCCGGTGGTATCACGCAACAAATCGGAGCCACCTTTTTCCCCGTGGACGCGATCAAGCAAAAGACGGCGGAACTTTCCAAGACGATGAAACTCGATTTCAAGCTGCCGGGTTTGTTGGTGATCGACACCCCGGGGCACGAAAGTTTTACCAACTTGCGGTCGCGCGGGTCTTCGTTGTGCGACATTGCAATCCTCGTCGTCGATATCATGCATGGGCTGGAACCGCAAACGTTGGAATCGATCCGACTGCTGCGGGCGAAGCGCGCCCCGTTCGTCGTCGCGCTCAACAAAATCGATCGATGCTACAGCTGGAAAACGTGCCCGGACATGCCGTTTCTCGACGCGTTTCAGCAACAAAACGAACACGTGCAACGCGAGTTTGAAGACCGCGCGGCGCAAATCAAGGTCCAGTTTGCCGAACAAAAGCTAAACGCGGAACTGTACTACCGCAACAACGACCTCGGCCGGACGATCTCGCTCATCCCGACGTCGGCCATCTCTGGCGAAGGCGTGCCGGACTTGCTCGGCATGCTCGTGCGCCTCACGCAAGAAAAGATGGCCAAGTCCCTTGCGTTCGTCGATATCTTGCAATGCACGGTGCTGGAAGTCAAGGTCATCGAAGGGCTCGGCACCACGATCGACACGATCCTCGTGAACGGGTCGTTGAGCGAAGGACAAACCATTGTCGTGTGTACGCTGGATGGCCCCGTCGTGACGACGATTCGGTCGTTGCTGACGCCGCACCCGATGAAGGAAATTCGCGTCAAGGGCGAGTACGTCCACCACCAGACGATCCAGGCCGCGATGGGGGTCAAGATTTGCGCGCAGGGGCTCGAAAAGGCCGTGGCCGGGACTGCCGTCCATGTTGTCGGCCCCGACGACGACGTGAACGAACTCAAGGACGCCGTCATGTCGGATCTGTCCAACATCATGGACAGTGTCCAAGCGACCAAGCGTGGGGTTATGGTTCAGGCGTCGACCTTGGGCGCGTTGGAAGCGCTGCTCGAGTTTCTTCGCAACGGGTGTGACCCGCCGATCCCCGTCGCATGCGTCAACATTGGGCCAGTCCACAAGAAGGACGTGATGCGCGCCAGTGTCCAGCTGGAGCACCAAAAGGAGTTTGCCACGATCCTCGCGTTCGACGTCAAGGTCCAGAACGACGCTGCCGACATGGCCAACGAGTTGGGCGTGCGGATTTTCACAGCCGACATCATCTACCACTTGTTTGACCAATTCACGGCATACATGGACAACATCCGCCAGTTGCGCCGCGAACAATTTGCCGACATTGCGGTCTTCCCCGTCGTGCTCAAGATCATCCCGACGTGCATTTTCAATAAGAAAGACCCGATCATTCTTGGCGTGGATGTCGAAGAAGGCATTCTCAAGGTCGGGACCCCCCTCGTGTCGGTCACCAACGGCGTGCTCGTGTCCATCGGCCGCGTTGCGTCCATTGAACGCGACAACAAGACGGTCGAGACGGCCAAGAAGGGCAGCAACGTCGCGGTCAAGATCGAGAGCGACAGCAACGTCACGTACGGCCGCCAATTTGACCACACGCACAAGCTGTACTCGCACTTGAGTCGGGCGAGTATCGACGCCCTCAAAGAAAACTTCAAAGACGACCTGGGCAAGGACGACTGGCGCCTCGTCATTAAGCTCAAGCCCGTGTTTGGTATCATCTAAATCTATTGTAGTCGAGACTCTCAAAACGTGAGAAAATTGATTGTGTTACACGCGACCGACAACGTGCGGATCACGGTCAGTTGAGGTATCTGCAGCTCTACGAGTCGGCGTTGTACGTGTCCATGTCGTTGTCGAGATCCTTGGCCGACTTGATGCCGCCACCACGGCCGCCACGGCGTCGGCGTCCTCCGCCCCCGCCTCTTCGACCACCACTACAGTCGAAAGGATGTGATCATTCATGCCAAACTTCCAACGAGCGCGATGAAACGCACTCGAACGTGACACTAAACCTGGGCTCGTCGTTGTCGTCCAGAGCAGTGCCGAACACGCCTTGGCGAACATTGTTGCCGTCGTTGTTGCTGCGGCGTTGCGATGAGCTGGTGTTACGGGGGTTACCATAGCCTCCGCCGCTAGAAGGCGCATCGTCCAGCGCAATCTTGAGGGCTTGGTCGTCCAAGAGGCGACCTGTCACATGATGAGACGTGTACTAGGCACGGAAGGACGAACCGTCGTATCGCTTCACAGCTTGCTCGGCATCGTTTCTGCGCGCAAACCAGACTCGCGCCAGACCCTAAGCGCACACAGAGGCATCCACCGGGGTTAACATGCGCCAACACGCGTCGTCATTGTTCCGTCGTGGACGGAACGGAGAGCACGCCAAATGTGGACGCCAGACAACACTGCAGTGCGTCACCAATGCGTTGATCATCGGCAAGACACCACCAGTCGACGTGCATCCGGGTCGTGTGTGGGTGTAGCAATATTCACCTTGGAGCGACCCGACTTGTCGTACACGATTTCGGCCTTCGTCACCTTGCCAACCGTGCCAAACAGTTCCTTCAGGTCGTCTTCCAGGACGTCAAACTTGAGGTTTTGCACGAAGATCTTGTGGCCAGCGTCGTCGTTGCTTACACGGCCTCCCAAACGGGACAAAATCGACGCTACGACGGACGGATAATTGAGGCACGACACCATGATTCGACAAAACGGTGCTCGTCGACGCACCTCGTTTGCCCGACTTGCCCGAGCTGTCACCCATGTCGTCATCGCTGTCGTTCTAACACGGCTCTCACTCAATCCGGACAACGAACCACAGTTGCCGCCTCGAATACCTTGCGGGAGTACGGTTCTGCGTTGCGGCGTCCACGACCAGTGTTCGGGCGGTTTCGGCGCACAGGTCCGCCACCTCCTCCGCCACGAGCGTCCCGGCCAGATTTGTTGGCAGACTTCTTCTTGTCAATCAGGTCATCCAGGCTCATGTCCAGCGAGTTTAGCAGCGACGACATGCTTCACTTCAGGGGGGGGCAGGAAGAGTGCGAAAATGACGAATCTTTCCTTCCCCACCACAGAGAAACGGAACCAGTGTCCGGATACCACAATTTCAATTCTCCAGTTTATCCGGTGCTCCAACGTGACGCGATTCGGTGGTGCGATGGGAGCTTCGGCCGTCGGTCTGGTTGCTCCGCGACTCGCGTCTCTCGCGTGCACTGAGCAAGGAGGGGCGAGGGGTGAATATCTCAGTGGTGGTGATGCTGTCGAGGTGTCCCCGTAGCTCCTTGGATGCATGCGTTTGACTGCAGCAAGGGCCGCAAAATGTGAGTTGGCATAGGTTGCACTGGACAGTCCCGAGGCGTTTCCAGCACTTCTGACATGACACGAGCGACCGCCTTGAACTCTTGGTCGATGCCACGTGCCGAGCTGCAGTCTTTACGGCGTGGGAACTGACGAACAGTCTTAGGAACTGCTTGAACACGAGGCTGCATTGGTCTTCTGTCATGGGCGGAAAGTGTTTCAACGTTGCTGCTTGCTCTTCAATTGTCTGCCGCACAATCACTTCTCCAGTGTCGTTGATGCACATGGACTTGTAAGCCACGTGTTCTGTCACATCACGAGCGAGACGAAGCGCTTCCGCATAGCTAGGGTGCATCGGACACATGATGTCAGTCTTGAGGCCATCCCTTACATGCAACGCACCGTGGGTGGGACTCCATGGCGAGGACAAAGTCCTCAGCCGACAGAGAGAGCAAGTCACACGCGCGTGCGGTCACAATGGAGCAATGGCACACAGCGCCTCCCAAAAACCCGTCGTCCCCAAAGTACTGACCTTCCGAGTACCTGTGGGCCATCAAGAATTTGTTCAGCCATCCCAAGCTCTCCAACCTTGGCGTGATACCCGCGTCATATCGAAGTCGGCGTACCTGGATGAAACGAAGTGCGACAGCGTCGACAGTGAAATGAGCTCTCCTTTCGAGACAAAGTACACGTGTTGCCCAAGGTTGCCCTGGACGACGACGGCTTCTCCTTTCGGATAACCTACACCGAAAGTCAGAAGCGACGGCCATCAGAGTGTTCGCGGTGCACCTTCAAACACAACGCGCTGTGCCAGGCTGCAAATCATCAAATCATGATCTCGAGTGTCCTTGGACAGCGGCCGAAGGTATCGCATCGAGAACCGAGACAAGCTCAACCGCGCGATTTGCAGGCTCGATTGCGACCGAATCTTGGGTGGCAGTTGCTCCAGGATCGACTGAAACGCCACGCCTTGATGGGTTGTCCACCAGTATGCCATGTACCCGCGGACTCGACCATGCAGCGTTCGGGTCAGGCGCTTCCGCGACAAGAACTCCATCACGTTCATTTGGTTGATTTTGAAGTCGACTTCGTTCTGAATGAGGTAGATGCACAACATCGACCCCTCGCCAATGACATACCCCATCACGAAGACACCAAACACCGACATGACGAGGATGAACGAGTACTGCAGCATCGTCGTCGGTTCGTACACGATGCCTGCCCCCGTGTACAACGTCCCGGCAAAGTACATGCACCGGAGGAGGCGGTGCACCTCCGACTCGGCTGTCTCGTGGTCGTGTAGCTTCAGCATTGGATTAGCGACGACACAATCGATCGAATCCAACACACACCTGAAAGTCGGCCGTGGGCAGCGACGTGTTCCACTGCGTCGCGAACCCGTCGACAAACGTGATGCCAAAGTATGCACACGCCGTCCAGTAGCTCACGATGAAGTAGTACAGCGCCAAGAGCTTGAGCCGATTGAGCTCGTACGACATGCTAAAGCGGTGGATTTCCGAGATCGTGCGGCTGAGTTGCCTCAGTTTCAAGAACCTGTTGAAGCGAAGCAGGGGCGACCACGCGAAGAAGGGGTCGCAGATGTAGTCGAGCGGGATGATCGCGACTACGTCCAAGGCGACGCTTGTCTGTTGGACGTCGTTGCGCTCGTAGAATTCTCTCGACAACGTGGTTTCGACGAGGTGGCGCTTGAACCAAATGTCGTACGCAAACACAACGTCGACAACTACGTTGAGCAACTAACCAAGAACAGGGATCAAAGAGCGTGGTTGGGAGGGAGGTACCTTGACGACAGCGACGGCGATTTCATTCAGGCCTTGGTGGCCAAACGTGAGCATGAACGGAACGCTCAGCGCGACGTGCAAAATCGAAAAGCAGAGCACCGTCAGGTACGTGCAGTAGAGCGGCGACTGAATTTCGACGTGGAGGAATTGGTGGCCCCACCGCTTCCACAATGGTGTCGCGTTCTCGTGGATTTGGCCGATGAGATCTCGCAAGGACAGAGCGACTGCAACGGGCCGGGCGACAACCTTGATCGCGCTGTTTGATCTGTCTGAGTCACTCGACGAGGGCGATGCGTCGACATTCCCGACGGGTGGCGCCGGGACGACTTTTGTTTGGACCAGTAGTTTGGTGGTGCCGCTGCGCTGCAACGGACCGACGATGGTAGACGTCGCGCCGTTCACCATAGCAACAGGCTGCGCTATGGATTGCGTCCCCGTCACCTGCTGAAGTCGCGCCGCTTGCTCTTCGTACAGGTGCTGGACAATGTCGAGCACCTTTGCTTTCCACTCGGGGTGCCACGAAAAGATCGAGTGGAGGTGGGCAAGCGACAGTTTGTACAACGTGCAGAACGTCCGGGCTTTGATCGTGGCATTGCGCGGCTCGTTTGAAAAGAGCGCTTTCTCGCCAAAGAACGACCCGTCCGTGATTTCGTGGACCTTGATGCCGAGGTTGCCCTCAAATCGAATCGCGGTCGACGTCGAGATGAACACGTCGAGGCATCCCGTAAAAACAAAGTACATTTCCCGTCCGACGTCGTGCTGCCGGCAAATGATTTCGTCGCGCGTGACAAGCATCTGGGACATCTGACTGACAAGGATCCGAGTCACGCTCGCTCCCGCCACGTTGTCCTGCAGAAACGGGACCTTGTTCAGCATGGGCGTGAGAAGAAACATGCGAATGTCGGCGGTCAGCGACGGCGGCAAGCACCTGACCAAGATGTGCTCTTCGTGGATGCTGTGGAAGAGGCGGTAAAAGTAAAAGTACTGGATCTTGGACTGTACGTCGTCCGAAAACGAAAAGTACCGCAGCAGCTTGCGCACGTAGTTTAAATTGCTGTAAAAGAGACGGCTGTTGCCGTCCGTGACTTGGACAATGTCGAGGAGGTTCCCGACCACGTACGCGAGTAAAAACACCCCCACCGTTTGCACGACCATCTACAACGACGGAACGTCACGATAGCCGAATCGCCGAGCCCTGGTCGGACGTACTGTGAACATATACTCGATCACGGTGGTCGGATGGCCCCCCGGGTGAAACCCAAACAACATGCCGACGCCCCAGTACATGACCTTGGCGAGCTTGAATGCGTTGGTGTGGTTTGTGTTGGCGGTCGCAATGTCGTTGCCTGGCAGCCACACGTCCGCGCCAAACTGGTCGGTGTTGATCACGTTGAGCAGCGTCGACTCGTTGCTGGCAAAATTGTACCACGTGCACCCGACAAAGTGGGCAAGCAAGTAGATGTAAAACACGAGCTTGGACACGCGGATCTGCGTGATAATGGTGAAGTACTGCCGCTCCAAGTGGTCGATCTGGGACGACAGCTTGAACAAGCGAAGCAACTTGTTGATGTTCCACGCTTCGGAGCGCGGACTGTCGACGAAAGCGTTGACAAGGTTTGTCGGGAGCACAGCGAGCAAGTCGAGGACAAAGGCAGTCGAGCGCAGATAACGACGTCGAATCACCGGCACGTCCATGACCTACGACGCGGTTCAAATGGTGCTCTCGACGTCGATCAAGTTGCGTCGTACCTTGTTGCCGTAGTCCATGTACCCCGTTCGAGTCTTCAGCACGATGTCGACGAGAAAGCTCACTTCGAGAACGATCGACACAACGTCAACGGCGGCCACGTTGCTCTTGGAGAAACCGAACGCCATGTAATACGGCACCATGATCACTTGGTACGCAATGCCAAAAAAGAGGAAGGTTTCCCACATCACAGACATGTTTGAGTCCGGATTGATCGCTTGGGGATGCGCCGCATTCTCCGTTTTTGCCTTGGCAGTCATGGTTGCTTGTCGGCTAACACGCAGACACCGCTTCTTGACCCCGTCGGCAAACCGCGGATAGATTTGATTCAGTGCGGCGACCGTGTCCCGCGACACGATCGCCACAACACACGCGCTTCGTGCAATCGCGTTGTCGGTGTGGGCAATGTACTCGCCGGCAAAATTCAGACTTGCCAGCCCAAACAAGTCCCCTACCGATCCGTCTCCCACGTCATCCCAGTGCTCAAACTATCGCGGACACAAACCTTGGTTCAACTCGTGGAGCTGGGTCGCCACATAAGTCGCGACATGGCCTTGCAACAGCATGTACATGGCGTCTCCAATGTCCCCAAGTCGGTAGATCATTTCGCCTTGGCCGTAGAGTTGAATCGTGACGTTGTCGAGGAACTTGGTAATCACTTGGTCGTACACGCTGCTGACGTGATCCAAGTGTGCAATCATTTCCAAGATCGGGCCGCAAATGTAGCCATAGATGTCACGCTGCATCGTGCTCGGCAACTCGGACACGAGCGTGTTGATGTCAGCGCCGCGATGGGCGCTCCAGGAAAAATCGAGAAATGCAAGGACGCGGCGGTGGAGGTCCGCGGGGGCCTTTTGTCGCTTGAGAAAGTGCAAGATGCGCGACCGCGTGGACAGGAACTCCATTTGTTCGACGGCCGACGCAGTCACGCGCTTTTGGACTTCGTCGATGATAATCGACACCAGCAACATACCAATCAACATGAGCGTAAAGGCAAACATGTACTCAGCGAACGTGACGGGCTCATACGGTCGCCCCAAGTTCGTGATGCACACGGCGCCATATTGAACGGCGCGTGTGTACTGCAGCAAGAGGATGCGCATCACGTCGGGCGAGTCGGGCGGAATGGCCGTGCCGTTGGCAAACTGGTAGGCTTCGATGTCGCCCGTGATGGCGTTTGCGACAGCGGTCAATTGCATCGTCTTCGGTGGCAGCCAGCCAAACGCAGTATCGCCAAACCCAGCGTGCTGGGTGTACGTGTGGGCCAGACACCCCGCGACATGGTACGACAGGAGAAGGCCCATCCCTAATACGGCGATGCGATGGCGACTGTTGATGTGGACAAATGTGGCCACTTCTTCGAACTCGGCCAAGAAGTTGAGTAATCTAGGCAAGTGAAATACTATCGTCCGGTTCGCTTGCAGCCATGTCGTACCGAAAGAGGCGAATAAATCGCCACGGCTCATGCGATGGCGGGTACAGAATCCACCACGGGAACGCACACGCCACGTCAAACGCAAAGTCTGTGCGGATGTAGTGAAGCGCACACTGTTTCGGGTCGACAATGTGCTCTGCTTCCATGACGAACGACAAGTTCAGCTTGGCATAGATGTCAGCCCACAACACAGCGTCGGCAAGAGTGTTGAAAAGCAGCACGGTGACCGAGTACATGAGGTCGAATGCACACACCAACGGTACCATGATGAGGTTGTAGATCGTGACGACCTTTGCACGTGTGTGTCAGTGCCGAAGAACAACACGATTTGGTTGCGCAGATTCGAAGGGGATGTACCATGATGGCGAGAACCCACACGCAACGAAGGGGTTTCCGCCGGTCCAACGGCTTCGATAGCAACACTCGCGTCCAGAGGGCTTTACGGATTGGAGATGCCATCGCGGCTGCAATCGCGGCGCTCGTTTTCTGGTCGACGCCAGAATCAAGCCTCCGTGAGTCGACTGGAGCGAGTAGCGACGACCTCGACGTGCAGTTCCGGAGGGACGTGTCCGAGTACTGGAGACTACCCCGCCGGGCAAGCTCCCCAGCTTTCGGAGCTTTTAACTCGAGCTCTTCCGAGATCCTCTCGACGCACTCCAAGATTGGTCCCTCTGCTTCGGGGTATGCATTCAAAACGCGCGTGATATGCACGCGTGACAGGCGGTGGAGGATGCAAAACGTCGCAGTCGCCACTACAAATCCAAACGAATGACGCGGCTGGTCTCGAACGACAAGCCCACAAGTACCTACCATCCGCCGTTCGAACTTGATTCGTGAAGAGCGACAGCTCGCCAAAGTATGCCCCCTTGCGCAGTTCGCGCACCTACAACAGATTCCACGGGGAGGTAAAAATGCCGCAACGTGCACGTCCTCGAGGCACCTTGACAAAGTCGATGAGGACGGCGAGGACCCCCGACTGGACAAAGTACATGTCTTCGCCATGGTCGCCCGTCCGACACACATAGTAGTTGGTCGGCAACGATCTGGTTTCCATCACGTCGATGATCGCTCGGATGAACGCAATGCTGCACGTTTTGAAGAACGGGACGGCCGTGACTGTGCCCTTCAGCAGCGTGTACTTGACTTCCTTCGCTATGGACGGACACAAGAGCTGCATGTTGCTCTTGTCTTGGCTCTCGCCACTGAAAAAACCATGCTACGCGACCGGTTGGCGATTCAACTGAACGATGGCAAGATTCACGACGCACCTCGAGGAATTCAATTGCGTGGTCTTGAATCTCGGCCGGCACGCGGTGGAACGACAGCACGTACCGGAGTTGGTTGACTTTGGCGTCAAATTGTTCGCGGTTGTTGGCATCGCATTTCGATATCATAAAGAGCGTGCCGCAAATGTACACGAAGAGCGTAAACCCGCCCAGCTGGACCGTGTACATATACAGCGTCTGCCACGCCGTCCGCGGGATCACGCCTTCCGCGACGTGCGACACGATGCCAAGGACCCTAATCGCACGGGACGGAGCCTCAGCGCTCGACAAAGACTTTGTCGCGACCGTACCACGAGATGGCGGCCATGTATTGCGTCGTCAGGGGTTCGTGGGCAACATGCGCTTCGAGCTTCCACTTGTTGTCGTCGTCAGCAATGCCAAACAAGACGTACAAACAGCCCATGACATGGCAAAACACGACCAGCGCCACGACGACTTTGACGATTTTGCAAAATTTGAAGTATCGGGCAAACACCTGTGGTGGACGCATCGATGACGCGGGAGCGTACGAGCAAGGCACACTCGTACCTTGTCGAAAGCGATCGTGTACTGAGGCAGCCGACGAAGCCGTAGGAGCTTATTGGCGCGCAGGGCGCCGCACAGAGTCGAAACGCGCGCCGCTGCTCCGGTAGACTTCCAGTCTTCGATGGGGAGCCACACGAGAGGGATCAGCGCGAGGAGGTCCAGGGGAAAGTGCATCGACCGCGTGTACCGCCGCCTCGTGGATGCCGGCGCAATGACGAGATCTCCATTATCGAAGTAGCCTGTGAAGAGCTGCACGTACACATCCAGGACAAAGGCCAGGTCGGCGACGTCCATCACGATCAGAAGGGCGGTGTTGTTGCACATGCCGTGATGCAGTTGATCAAAGCACACGAGTAGGGGCACCACGAGAGCGTCGTATAAGACAATTGCTGCCAAGAACGTGTGCCAGATCGCGATTTTTGTCGACGTCGGGTCGAACGCGATGAAATGAGACACGTGCCATGTCGGGATACACCTTGACCACATCAACTTGTCTTGAATCCACTGGTGGAGCGTCATGGAGATGTCCTGCCTCGACGGAATGCGCATGAGGCGAGATCGTTTTGGCGGTAGAGATGTTAGCGGCGCGACTGCTTCGACGCCCGACACTTGCCGAACCGACACGGACGTGATTGCGTCGGACGACGCGATGCGGTGGCCGTACGGACGTCGCCAGGGTGGGTTCCGGCTGATCCATGTGGGAGTCTTCTTTAACGGCACATTGACCGCCATGCGATTGAGCGCAGCCGTGTGCTTGAGGGTGAATAGAATCTAACCGCTCCGCCAAACGAAACGAATTCGGCGCGAGCTATCAATAGCATTTCAAGTTGTATCGAGGCATCTCATGTGGAGCACACAAGACCACTGGCGCAGTGAGTTGCCGCGGACGGTCGAGTCGATGTGTAGTTGCCAGTCCCATGGCTACCGAAGCGCACATCGTGTTTGGTGACGTAAGTACGCAAGATGAAATTGATAAGTGTTAACGTCGAGATGGCCCGCCTTTCTTGAGAGACGGAAACTGGAGTGGCAGGGTCAAGATCGCGCGGAAACTTTCGCTCTTCTTGCCGCCTAGACCACTCGAGTCTGTCTTGACTTTGTCGACTCGGCATCCCACTTGTTTCGTGTACCCGATGATGCTGGATGCACAAAGTGAGCGATGGGTGGACGGAGAACGATACATACTTGGACGGGGCGCGCTTCAGATCGGCGGCGATAGCCGACACATCGAGGCTGAACCCGCCGATGGTTAGCGCCACCACGAGCAAATATAGCAGGAGTTTGTCCTTCAGGACCTTCGATTGCGCATAACTACGGGTCCACATCGAATGAAAAAGACGGGACGTTCACTAGGGTCGTCGCCGTACCTGGTCTTCCCGTACGAGTTGACCGTGGCTTCGGCGAACGTGCCCAATATTTGCTTGACGACCAAATGCGGCACGTTCATGGTTTCGCTGAGCGAGGCAGCACTGGCTTGCAGCGGATACCGCGCTTGGAAGAACTGCACGAGGTACATGACGTACAGCATGAGCGCGACATTCTCCCGGTCGTACGGCTTGCCCATGGACGTCATGACTTGCGTGATATAGTTGGCAGCAGCCACGTCGTTCTGGGCAAGGAACTCGGACAACGCACTGGTCGACAGGACCGAGATGAATTCGTCCGCTTTCATGAGCAATGACTCCATCACGTCGTTGCTCAAAACTACATCACGGGTATCAGCAACGTCCACACAGCAACGTTGGGGAAGATTACATTTCGAGATGTCGTAGACGCCGTCTGGAGTCAGCGCATCCAACTTGCAAGGCGGCAACATCGCCAAACGAGTCGCATCCATGGCAAATCCGTCTACAAAGCGCATACGTTTGAATTTGATATTGTTCGGGTTGCCGTGACTTGGTACCAGCAGAGAACTTGGGGTCTGCGGCGCGTTTCGCCGCGAGCAGGTCCGAGTTCTCTTGGACTTTTTCCGAGAAAGTCTGGGTGATGGACGACGCTCCGCGAATATTTTCGACTTGGATCTTGTTTTCTTCGCGAGACCGGACAATGCGCTTGGATGCTTTGCTCCCAAACACGTCGACAAGGTTCTTCTGGCATTCCGAGTACGACACCGACTGCCACGAACAACGGCAGGTGAATACTCGCTGAGAATAAGTACATGCTCGAGCGAACTTACGTCTTGCGTGTTGTCGTCGACATTCTCCCGGAAGCTCTTGACGCTTTGCTGCATCACGTAGACCTGGTCGACGTTGAATAGTTGGACTGTGTTTGTGTCCTTGTCCACAACGCCGACAACGTAGCTGGACAAGTCGCCGTTCGAGTTTCCATGACCAAAATTGGCCGCCTGGTACGTGACTTTCTCTGTGTCAGCAACCACGATGCGCTTTTTCTTGGCGGCGTGTTCGTACACCTGGCAGTGGAACCCCGTGTTTGTGAGTGGCGGGCCACCGCGGAAGGATACTGCATGAACGCAATTGTGTGTGAGATTCATGAATGAACATAGATATCGTGATAAGGACATACCTAGGAGCGGTGCTGAGGCCGCAGCGCTCGGTTCATGGACCAGGTCGACCGTGCGCTTGGACATCGCGCGGGATCTTGGTTCAAAATGGCTGGTGCATTGAACTTGGCAACGACTGGTTGGAATTCTAGATCGTTGATTGGCTAACGGATTAAATTTTTAGCCAATCACTATTGAATTGCCCTCATTGGAGTCCCATTGTGATAATGGAAAGCCGCGGGAAGAAGGCGAACAAGCGCGACGGAGGAGCCGGCTCCCGAAGTGGCGGCAAGAGCAAAGGCGGCGCCGGTAGTATCAAACCAAAGCGCGAAGATCGCCGCCGCGGAGCGCCTCGCGAGGAAACACAGGGCGAAGGCGAATCGAATCTGTCCTTCAAGCGCAGATCGTTCCCAATTGCATTGCGCATGTGGGACTTCCAGCAATGCGATTCCAAGCGCTGCACGGGGCGCAAGTTGTGTCGTCTTGGATATGTTACGAGCATGAAGCCCGGCGCGCATTTCCGGGGCATCGTGTTGTCGCCGCATGGTACGAAGCTTGTATCCCGCGAAGATTTGGGCATTGTCGAGTCGGTTGGAATCTCCGTGATCGACTGTTCATGGGCGCGAATTCAAGAAATGGGCATTAAGCAGATCAACTCGGGGACGCATCGCTTGCTTCCTTTCCTCGTCGCTGCGAACACTGTCAACTACGGCAAGCCGCACAAACTGTCGTGCGTGGAAGCCATCGCGGCGACATTATACATTGTTGGCTTGGCGGTTCGTCGTCCTTCCATTTCACCCATTCTTCTTACAACGGCACGTGTAGGACGAAGCAGTGCAGCTGATGGACGAGTTTCCATGGGGCATGGAGTTCCTCAAGATCAACGCCGACGTGTTGGATGCCTATGCAGCATGCGAATCGTCCGACGAAGTGGTCGCGGCCCAGGTACATTGCGCCGCCCACTTGTCCACGCCCGTTTATTATGTCACTAGGATGCATACCTTGCCTCGTGCCAAGCAGAGGTGGACGACCGACGGAACCGTCTCGACTTGCCCGCTCTGAGTGATGAAGAAGGCAGTGACGAGGACGAGGAAGCCGCCGAGGCCGAAGCCGCCATGGTCTACAAGATCCATCGTCCGCACGCGGCAGTGAATGCTCAAGAAGATGACGACCAACTTCCACCAACCGATTGGGTCGCGGCGGCAGCATCGGTTGCAAAGACTCAAGACGCACGCCAAGCGTTGGCTGCTGCCCGCGATGTACCCCGTTCGCCTCGAGACATGGATGAGGACGACAGTTCCTTGTTCGCGGCCACCATGGCGAACGTCACAGACAACGTGGCGGCCGTCACGCTCGAGCAAACGCTTCGCGCGGCGTCCGGTGACGCATCATTCGCCCTCCCGCGCGCCGACTTTGAGAAATGGCAGGCCGAAGCAGCAGCCAATACCGCCGCGTCCCCGCCGCCTACTCCGTCGCAAGTCACGATGGAACCACATCAATAGCTCGAGCGTTTTCATCCTGTATATCGACGACTATGTGCGTCAAGCACGAGAACAAAGAAGCTGACCCATCTCGTTACTATCGCTTTTTCACCCCTCGCGGGGCGGTAGTCTTGCCTCCTGACAGGTGTTTGGCGGTGGCGGGGCGAGCTTTCTGCCACGACATCACGGAAAACTTGGGGCTCACAGGCACTGTGAGCTTCTTTCCTCGCTTCGCAGGCTCGATGTCGTTGTCTTGCTGTCCTTCCGGCAGTTGGTTGGCGTGTCCATCGGGGAGTGCACCCGTGATGTTGCGCGACGGCTTTCTGTGCCTCTGAGTCGATCGAATGAGCGAAGCGGTCGATCCAACACACGGTGCCGATTGTTTTTGGAGTGCTGTTCGTCCTGGGGCCGACTTTGGCCGCATGGAAGGGGTGTTCGACGTGGCTGCGAGGGGGGCTCGAGGGGCTGCTGCCCCTGTGGGGCGTGGAGCGTAACTATGATCGTCGTCCGACGACGATGACGACGACGACTGGGCTGGCTGATCGTCCGCTGCGGCATGTGTGGGGATCACAACAGGTGGACGGGTACGCGCTGCGCTGGTCGGTCGAGTCAAAGATGAAGACGAGGTGGTCGCCGTAGCAACCGAAGCAGCCGCGGAGGGCTGCACATGCGAGGCTAATACGGAAGGTTGTGTGGCTGGAGGAATGGGGCGGGCGCGGGCGGCACTGGTGGGTCGTGTTCGGGGGAGGAGGGACGTGAGGCCCATGACTTGCACAGAGTCGCGTTGGGACGTCAACGTGGCGTTCATTGGGGGGTCGCTGTTTTGAGTGGTCAGGGGGAGGTTTGCATGACCAGATTGGGTCTCTCTGGGCGGTGGTGTATTGGGTGGTGGTGGTGGGTGCGCAAAGGTGGCAACGTCGTTGTTGAAAGATGTTGGAGTCGACCGTGTGGCTCCCAACATGGATTTGACGAGGTCGACATTCTGACATGTGACGCGCCCAGTCTCTTTCGCCCTCGTGTCTTGGGCAGTGCATTGCCTTGACAAGGCGTGAATGGTTCGTAGCCCAGCGGGGGTTTGTTCAAGCACGGTCGATGCTGTAGCGTGGGGTGCAATCGAGTCACTGGGGGCAGCTGAGGCTGCAGTCGGGGTCGGCATCGGGGCGACGCTGTTGGCATGAAATGCGTTAACTTCTTGTTGAATCAGCTTGACAAGATCATTTCTTGACACGTTTTGGGATTCAAACGGCATCTGCAGTCGTCCTGCCGGCACCTACACCCAAGAGTTGGAGTGGACTACGTCACTAGACGACTTGCGAACCGAAATGTCTTTGTATGCGTATCGCTTGTCGATGCCTTGCATGTACGGGTGGGCGAGCGCTTCGTCGACCGTGCACCGTGCGGTGGGGTCAAACTGGAGGAGCTTGTCGAGGAGGTCGATCGCATCAGGACTTGCCGTTGGAAAGAGCGTGCGGAACGGCACCTTGGCCTTCTTCCCCAAGCTCTTGATGAACCGCTGGGCCTGCGTGCTCTTCATTTTCTTCACGTCGTTTGTGCATGGCGTGCCAATGACGTCAAAAATCAATGTGAGTTGGTGGATGAAGTTTTTCCCGGGAAAGAATGCTTTGCGGCCGAGAATCTATCACCATCCCATCCGTGTTAGCCTTTGGGGTTGTCTGCACAGGGGCACTGCCGTCGGCGAATGGGGCTGTGATTACCTCTGCAAAGATGCATCCCACAGACCACATGTCGACGCCGGTGTTGTACTGACCGTCCGGCTGCAGCATGAGCTCGGGGGCGCGATACCACCGCGTGACCACGTGCTCGGTCATGGGTTGCCAGTCGGAGTCAGCCGTGTCTTTCTTCGTTGGACCGGCAGATGCTGGTCGGGGTTTGGATATTGTCCGCTTGGGCACGCTGCGCGCAAGTCCAAAATCTGCGATTTTGACTTGACAGTTCTTGGTGACGAGGATGTTGCCCGGCTTAAGGTCGCGATGGAGCACGCCATTGTCATGGAGGTGCTTTACGCCTCGCAGGATTTGGTGCAAGAAAAACTTGTAGTGCGACTCGGACAGCGGCTACAAGACATGCATGCCTCGGGAAGTGCCGAGCATCGTGCAACGTCCGTACCTGGCTGCTTTGAATGACTCGGTGCATGTCAGTATCCATAAAGTCCATAACAATGTACAGCTCGTCGTCCGCAACGTTGACAGACATGTTCTTGACCCCCACAACCTGTCCCGTTGGCATGAGATGCCAGACCATGTTGTAAACACGTACGTTTGGATGGGCTCCCAGGGATTGCATGAGGCAGATCTCTCGCAGCGTATGTTTGGCATCGTTCTGCTTACGGGCCATGGGGGACACTCGTTTGATGGCCACCTTTTCCCCAGTCACCAGATCTCGCGCAGAACTACAGTCGTCGCAAGAATGGCATGCGGGTCCATCTGCAATGAAAATATCGACGTACCACACGATGCCATACGATCCACGACCTAAGGCGGCGATGAATTGATACCGCACGTCCACCTTGAATAACGCGCCATAAACACTGAACGTCGTTTGCTGCGGCGGTGTCGTCATTCCCAGCAGCACGGCGAGAGCTGCGTCTGTTCAAAGTGAAACCGTTGCGCCGTCGACCGTTTCACCACCAGGAACACGCCTCGACAATACACCACCACAGCAACGCCAGCGACACCGCCAGTGCCTTGTTTCTCGTAAGCGCCACTGCGTCATCGTTCAGCGGCGCATCCATGGTGTTTGCTTCGGGGGGCCTCGCCAGACATTGACAAGTGGTTACACCAAGGTGTGTGGCGTCCAACTGCCTTAAATACGTAGTGCCCTTAAAAATCCCTAAACAATATTAGTGACATACTCCATACAGTTCATCACATATATAGAACAACCAATCAGAGAAACGAAGAGGAGAATTCAGCCAATCAATGCTCTGATGGTCGTTGGGTGGTGCAAACCTCGAGCCGTTGTTGTGTGCTCTGGTCGCCACTTTCAATCCGCACCAGAAAGAAACCATGGCCCCCACCAAAGCCACGACCAAGACGACCAAGGCTGTGACGAAGACGCCTGCCAAGGCCAAGTCCAACAACGTGTGAGTGCTTTATGCCACCTTGTACGAGCAAAACCAACACGAACTTGGTGTTGTCTGGAAGAAGACGACGTGTTGACAACTCAGTCCACCAATTTCCCGCTTGTGCACGCTTCTGTGCCTCCATCTCACCACCTCCTTGTTCCTGGAACGGGTTGTGGACGAGGATTATGAGAGTAAGGCTGCTACCCTTGCACCACGACACGTCTTCCGCGTGGCACGTCGCTGATCGCACATGGACTGTGGTTGCAAGATGCCTTTCTCTTGAAATTCATTTTGGATGGGCAAGCGCCACCCACGTGGCGCTTGCGTTTGGGAGCTTCTGTCTCCAAACCATCCAACACATCCTGTCTTTGTGCGCCACGCGCATCATTGTCGGGGACTGTGACAGTGTTGTTGCGTTTCAACAACTCTGTTTAAATCCACAAGTACGGGCGATGGGCAGCCGACACCGCCACGCACTGTCGGTCATGTAACCCCATCACTGGGTGCTGTGGCGGCAGCGTGGCAGTGTCGCTGCCGTCTCGTTCCAACGCCCCAACCGTGTTGCGCTGTTTGCAGGCAGCGGCAACAAGTGGCTGTTGGACCCGTATATTAATTGTTGCCTTGTGTAGGCTTGTGCCCGAATCCATCCTCAAGAAGCGCCGCACTCTTGAAGTGGTCAAGGCCAAGAAGGCCGAAGCTGTCGTCGCCGCCAAGAAGCATGCCCTCAAGGTCAAGCAAATCGCGTTCAAGTCTGCCGAAAAGTACGTCAAGGAATACCGCAGCGTACGTTACGTCGCCATATGCCCCCACGTCGCGGCCAAGCCATCCCTTATCGTGCGTCCCCTCTAGATTGAAAAGCAAAACGTGCTGCTCCGCCGCCAAGCCAAGGCTGCCGGTAACTTTTACGTGCCTGCTGAAGCCAAGGTCGCGTTCGTGGTGCGCATTCGCGGTATCATTGGCGTGTCCCCCAAGGTCCGCAAGATCCTGAAGTTGTTCCGCTTGACGCAAATCCAAAACGGCGTGTTCGTCAAGCTCAACAAGGCTACAATCAACATGTTGCGCCTCGTGGAGCCTTTTATCGCGTACGGCTACCCCAACTTGAAGTCGACCCGCGAATTGATCTACAAGCGTGGCTTTGGCAAGATCAACAAGCAGCGCATTGCTTTGACCGACAACTCGTTGGTGGAAAAGGTCTTGGGCAAGTTCGGCATCATCTGTATGGAAGACTTGATCCACGAAGTGTTCACGTGCGGCCCCCACTTCAAGGAAGCTGCCAACTTTTTGTGGCCCTTCCAATTGTCGTCGCCCAACGGTGGCTACACCCAAAAGTTGTTGCACTTCGCTGAAGGCGGTGACCACGGCAACCGCGGCGAGGAAATCAACAAGTTCATCAAGCAAATCTTGTAAGGAGCTTGTCCTCAACGTGTGGGGCAGTTAAGTTTTCAATGCAAACCCCATTGGTGCGATAAAAGGAGGACTTCTTCTCGAGTTCATGTGATGCGTGATGTGGGGACTGCAGCGATTCGTAGCCCGTCGTGTCATCGGCCAAGCCGCCCAAGTCCCGGCGACTGCTTCTCTCCAGGATCCACCGTGGTTGTGACCGCTCCTTTGGAATTGCAAGGATGGACAAGCTGCACCATGCCGTGAGCTTTCTGCCAAACATCATAACACTTGGACAGTGCAGAGTGTGTCTTCAAGAGAGAACCTTTGTGCACTGTCAGAGGCGTGCGAGCCCCGCGGACGAGGCTCCGCGCTCGTGTTGTAGCATGTAAGTTGAGCTTGGGCTGTTGTCGGGGGCATCTATCTGCAGCGACGGACGTCAACGTCGCGTTCGTCGCGATGGTTGTAACTGTGATGCACTCTGCGCGACTTTTCGTCGATTTCGACCAAAGTGCCGTCATGTTGGAGTCGATTTCGTTCACGCACCAAGCGTACTCGAAACTTGGGTCCGTGCAGGTTGGCATTGGTGTTTGTTCGGCTTCAATTCATGGCGCACGTATCTGACAGCGAACTGTGCAATGCGAGCTCGAAGGCTTGCGGAAGATGCTGCAACTCCAAGTACGCCAATTCGGCTCGCCATTGCGTTGTGCGGTCTGCCTATGAGTCTGATCTGCCCTTGTGGCGTGTAGGAGCAGGCGGCAGCTACTCTCGGCACCCCCCCAGCGCCGCCAATGTTGCCCTTGGGCCCGCATGCCAACGCTGTCGACGTACGCAACGAAGCGGAAGAAACTTGTGACGACTTGGCATGTGTAGAATCAAGATTGGGACGTGATCCAAGAACCGAGTAGGTTACAATTGCAACGCCATGTCAAAGATCCTGTTGATCCAGCGACCGCACGGTGCGAAGCGATGCTGCAGCAAGCCGAGCGCAGCGCCGACGTGCTGTACGAGACATTGGTACACAACGCCTCCTACACGACGACCTGTCATCTTGACCCCAAGCTCGACAGGAATTTGAGTCGAAAGAGTTGGCGCATGTTCGAGAAACGATGGACATGAAGTGGCGCGACATTGCGCGGACTCTAGCCGACGAGATTCGGTTCGTTGACTTGGATCGCACTCTAGATAGCTCTGAGCGTGCAGCCGTAGGCAACTCAAAAAAGTCGTGGCCGACAAGGACACAGTCGTCGAACAACTCCGACAGGAGCTTCGCCACACCCATCAACTGGCGCTCGCCCACGAGGAAGACTTGGTCACCCGGTCCAACGCAACGCTTCGGCGCAACGAAGAACTGCAGAAACTCTCGGCATCTGCACACGAAACGAATCAAATGCTGATGGCCCAAGTGCAAACCCTTCGCCAAACACTCGAAACTCAACGTGTACGTGTGGTCCTGCCGCTTCGGTTTCGAAACCAAGTTGTAGGCTACTGCGTCGGAGCAGCGAGACAAGGACGAAGAGTGGCAAGGCATGTTAGCGGAGCAGAACCGCCAGCTTCAAATTCAACTCAGCCACGAAAGCCAAGCCAAGGCCGAGTTGCAAGCGATGCTCGCGAGTGTTATACAGCAACACGCGCCGCCGCCACCCCCCACCGCCGTTCGGGCAATCACAGTAAGCGCCCCGAAGCCACACAAACACTTTCCATCCGTCATCACTGCTTCGACACCACATCTTTTGCCACGACTCGCAGGAGGCCCCGCCGGGGCATCATCCGGTGCTGCCAAACCAATTCCTTCATCCACCGCAAGTTGCGTGCCATTGTGGAAATAACGTGCTACTTAAATATGATACGACGACATGTCGGAGCACACACTGCTCGGCCGTCGATCTTGGCGGTCCATGGTCACCTTCATCGCGTCGTCGTGGAGGTGCATGAACTGGTCGTCGTGGCAGCTACCCCCCACCAAGTCTTCCTTGCATTCGACGGGAATGCTGAAGTTGGAGGAAGCGCCACTCGACCGTCGTTGGCCATCGTCCAGCATGGCCAAGTCCGAAGTGACGCTGAGCACACTAGATGGTGTAGCAGCGCCGGGCGACGTGACTCGGTAGCTGAACGATAGACTTCTCGCATCGGACGACGCTGGCGTCGACAGTCGAAGGTCAAAGGAACCATTCGCGTCGTCGGACCGGTATGACCCAGCCGAGTCGTCATCGCGAATGTCGTCCACAGCGAAGCTGCGGTTGGAAGCGGCGGACCTGGCAAAGCTGTTGTGGTACTCAACACCTCCGTAGTCCAGGCTGAAGTCCACGGGGCTTGGCGCGGTGCACGACGCGTTCGATGTGGATGTCGGTGTCGGCTGCTTCGCAGAGTGCTGGAACAGCGACCGTGGCGTCAATTTGGACAAGCGGTGGCGTTGGCGAGGCGACACGTGCGGGTTGCGATGCGAACTTCGACTGTTGAATGCCGTCGACGGAGGTGTCCCAAGGAATACTGCGCCATCGTCGCCACGGCCGTCGCTCTCGGAGCCGCGCGCCCGCCGCCGCAAGAACAAGATGACGAAGAATGCCACGAGAAACACCGCGAGTGTCGCGCACGCAATGATGGCGATTAACATGGCTTGGTTGTTGCCGGGATTGGAAGGAGTATTTGGGACCGTGGATGGAGGGACTGTGGTGTCGTTGGCCCAGGCAGCCACAACGTTTTGAATATCCGGGACATCTACATCGCATCGAATAGATCATGCCGTCATGAGTTACTAGGTCAATTACCTTGTTGGGGTGCGGGGGTCGAAAATGGAAGCGTCGGCCATGACGAAACAACGACGGTTGTCCGTTCAGGACTTGTTGGCATGGTCGAGGACGAAGGAGAGGGCGTAGAGGTGACTGACGTCATGGAGGGAGTGGCACTTGGCTCGACGGGGCTGTTTGCTGGTTTCGATGTGATTGGAACCGGTGGGCTGCTCGTGGTTGTCACCGACGGCTTCGTTGTCGACGGAGATGTCGTGGTGGCTGGCAATGACGTCTGTGGCGCAAGTGTCGTCGATGGGGCAGGGCTAAATGGAGCTACCGTGGTCGGTTCCGTCGACGATGGCGTGACGGACGATGGTGTCGCCATGGGGACGCCCGATGAGGGTGCAGTGGTCGTGATGTCCAGCTCTTACAAGCGCCGCGGCAAGTCAGCCGGTTTCAAGATGAGTGTTTGAAAATGCCACCACGTGCATCCTCTTCGCAATTCAGGCCACCACCATGAGCGATGTGCCAACCTGTTTCAACCGCCTCGATGAGATGCGCACTGACCATAGCGTCTCCTTCGACACGTTCTCGCATCTCCTCCATATCTCTACGTCCAACTTGGGCTTACTGGCTCCATGGCTACATACACTTGAACCTCGACGTGATACTTGACGCAACTCCCACTGCACCTGACGAGCATTGCTATCGATCGGTGGCTCCTGTGAAGGGGATTCGAATACCCCAGCCATCGCATGATGCTGTGTGCCCTTCGTGTCCGTTTCGCTCAAAATAGCGTCCCAACGCTCTCGCAACTTTCCAACCGGTTCTCATGAAGAATATTATTATCTTCAATAGCGGATTCCAGACCATGTTGACTTTTTAATTTCGTGAATGCAGTCAGATTATCTGATCAAAGTAGCGGCAACATTGCGTGCGATGAAGCAACTACGTACAGGATGTGCTACCATGCATGGTTCATATGCAATGAAGCTGACTCATGACCACATGAACCAAGCAACGATACCTTGCCATTTGTGTTGAGACGCTTCTGTTGTGCGTACAACAGCTCTGTCAATGCACAGCCGGAGATCCTCCGAGATCCTGCTTGCTGTGTGGCTTTGACATGGCAGTTGGTTAAAAACACAAATGGCCAATCACTGGGCATTTGGTTACGGCCGCATACAAGTCTCAACGGCGGGCGAGCGACCTGCCGATTGGTTCGCCATGCATGCCGAGGCTCGTCGACTTGGAGTGTATCCATTGCTTGTGCACGTACATGGAGGCTGTGATCACGGCCAACAATGCATGGGACCCAGAGAGCACAGAAGCGAGGGGGACAGGGGTGGGCAGCGCTATTTGTGCTCGCGAAACTGCCTAGCAGTTGCAGAGGAAAGGACAACATCTCGACCACATCATCACTGTCCGGGGGGTTGTCAATCATCGGAATGGGCGCAAAACAAGGCAAGGTGGCACGGGGAGACATCTCGGAAGACAAATTCCCCACCAAAGAATTTCTCAAGCATGGTCTGGCCTCGTCGGACCACGTGCACCACTACCTGCCCGCCAACCTCCCACTGTTCCCCACCCTCAACCCCACGTATGCCCAAGAGTGCACCAAGACGTGGCGGGACATTTGCAAAGCAACCCCGGACAAGATGAAGGGGTACGACAAAGCAGGAATTGTGTTGTTCCAGGACGAGTTCTTCCACCGCCTCTTTCAGCGCGACACGAGCATGGAAGCCGTGTTTCCGTCGCCGAAGAAGCGAGCGGAAGTCCTCGTGCTCGCCATGACGTTCGTGTTGAAAACGGCGGTTGAAGACCACGAACTTGTGAAGAATCGGTGTCGTCATCTTGGCCACATGCACAGATCGATCCCGCTCATGAGGCCGCACCACTTTGCCGTGTATGTGGGAACGTGCATCGAAGTGATCATGCACTGGCTTGGCAAGGAAGGCACGCCAAATGTCGGCGAAGCGTGGAGCAACGTGATGGGATTCTACCTGAAATACATCCTGCAAGCGTTCTTGTTTCAGACAGTCGACGAGGCCGAATTTGCGCAAAACACCAACGCCAATGTTGGCCCGACGACGGCGACCACCGCCTCGAAATCCGCATGAACCAACACGCTGTCTGGATCGTCGTGTCGTGTGAGGGAGTTGTAAATGTTTGAACACAAGAAGTTTGGCTGGCCTTTCTAGTGTGGCCATGGGGTTGCCATGAAGAAACTGGACTACTACCGCATGAAGTGTCCACACAGCGACTCGCCATTGATTCGGGGCAATGGCTACAACTCAAGCTGGACAGACCGGAAGCGACAATGCGCAGTGGCGGTGCATGAGCGAGGGTAGGCAACCCAAATTCAACCACAGAGTCGATGCTAGACGATGTCCAAGTCGCAGCCACGTTTGTTGAGCTGCCAACGTTCGTGATCTCTGTTGGAACATCCTGTTTTAAAGCTGCTTCCATCCTAGCCATCATAGCCTTGCCCATAGCGACGAGCTCTAACGACCACGCTATGCACCTATGGCCAAACGTCGCAGACTGCTGACACCGCCAAGAGGAAGCAACTTGGCTTGCTGAGGTGGCACGCAGAGCGATCTTTAAGCGGTGATACGATATCTCATCTGATTGGTCGATTCGACCCAATGAAATGCTGGCAGACAGTGGCATGGAAACATCCGAACTTGTCAACGGCGGCGGACAATGTCGGCGACGGAGCTGCGGGATGCGTACAAGGCGCTCAAGTTCCTCCAGGAAGCCCTTGCCAAGAGTAAAGAAGAGGTGGCTATTTGTCGCTCCCAGCTCAAGCATCAAGAAGACCAGCACTTGCTGGATTTGCAGACGCTACAGGCGGAATTGAATCAAGCTCGTTCACAGGTGCTGCAGCCTCCCGCCGCGTGTCAGCACCATGGTCAAGGACTCGAAGCCCTTCAACGTCAGTACACGAATGAACTAAAGAAACTCCGTGACGAACTCGACAATGCCATCCAATATCGTCAACGTGCAGAGGACGATGCACGCAATCGCACAATCGAGCTTAGGGCTGAAAAACACAAGACCGCAGCGCTGCAGGCTCAATTTCACACGCTTGAAGCGTCTATAAGCGACATGCAAGCTCGTCTGAGTGAAAGCACCGTCGAGAAGGCGTCGTCGGACGCACGTTTTGCAGAAGCTGTTGCCTTCTCGAAAACCCAAGTCGACAAACTGAGGTCCGTTGAGGCGACGCTATGCAAAGCAAAGGAAACCGAAAGAAAAGTTCAAGACGAAATACGCAAGAATGAAGCGCTAGTGGCTCAGCTTCACTCACTCGAGACCTCCATGCACTCGCTTCAAACCCAATTGGATGAATCCACCACCGCTAACGCATCCTTGGAGGCCCGCGTGGTAGAACTCATTTCTCTGTCTAATAGCCAAGACGCCAAGGTTCGATCTCTGGAGGCCACGCTTGCCCGGACAGTGGAGGCTCTTGCATCTTCACAGGAGGCGTGTGCAGCCTTGGCGAAAGAAAAGCGGCGCATCGAGGAGGACGTCGTGGTTGCACGGCTACTCAAAGTCGAAGAACTCGATGTTCTAGCCGTCCACAAGAGCGAGACTCCCGATGCAGAAAGTGTAGTCCCAAGCTCTGTGACGGTGACTACCCAGCAGCTCGCTGAGTGGAGAGCTAAGTTGCGAGATCTGAGGACGGAGTTGCGTTCGATCCGTATCGATGTCAAGGCAATGAAATCACTCCGAGCACCGATACTGACGATGGAATATTTCCAAGCATACGCTTCAAAGCCATCAAACGCGACTCAAGAACGACTTAGCGTGTTGTCATCAAAATTAGGGGATGTGCGTCACGAATGGCATGAGCTCAAGGCCTTATGGACCGCATACTCCGCGGACACGATGGGATTCCTGACGGATGGGCTAATGACCTTGGTATTGGAACGATCGGGCCGTGAAGCGCAAGCCCAAATGCGACGAATACACATTTCGAGCCAGCTAAACGAACTGCGAGCACTACGGACAGAGCAGCGTCAGCTGGCGAAGACGTGGCAACGTGAGGTCAAAGTGCAAATGGACGAGGTGATGGCGGCCGCGAACAAACAAATTCGTATTGCGTCCCGTCATGGCGAAGGCGTCGAACGCCAATTGATGGCGAGTGAGGACACGACGTCGCCGTTCTTTCGGTGCGTACCGACTTCATTTGTATTACGGCTCTTCTGAGTTCTGGGGAACCCAGGAGGACAGCGCCGTCGGAAGCCATTTCGTGGGCCACCCTCGAGCGCCGACTGAGCGAGATGAAAACACCGTTTCATCGCGTGCTGCAGTCGCTTGACCAAGCCAACTACGCGCTCAAGCTCATGGTGATGACGAAGACGATATCGAACGGCTTGCGCTCTCAACACCTGATTGAAGTAGATCCGAAACACAGACGCGTTGGCGTCGTTGGGCTCTGGTCCGATGCAATCTCGTGTCGTCGAGTTTGCACGATTCATTGCATCGTTCTTGACAGCTATCGACGACGCCACGGTTGAACGTGCGGTGGCCACCCATTCCAACTCCATCCACGACCTCTTGTACACGTGGCAGCCGTGCGACCCAATGTAACGAGCTCCATGGCACACTTCGTCAAGCAATCTGATCGACATTTTTTGGGTAGATTCCTCGACGCGATACCCGTCCCTCCATTCGGGATCGAGTCGCCGGAAGTGGATCACATTTTATCGTCGTGGACGTCAGATCTCGCGGCACGGGCGTCTGCTGCGCGGTGGTTGTCTGCTGTCGCGTTGAACCACCCCACGAACGAGTCGAGTTTTCGATTTGCGAGTCTCACGCGGGAGGTCAAAGACGCAGTCCTGGTGCTCCTTGTGCCGCTGATCAAATCCAAGCGCCCTGTGCACGTCCGCCTCAGACGCCAATCCACAACAGATGCCAAGTGGGATATTGCGATTGATACCGTGGCCGTGACAAGCCCCAAACAAACGCAGCCACAGTCCGCCATGTTTAAAGCTATCCAGCGCCGGTTGACTGAACTGCAAAAATAAATTTGTGTACGAACGACATGTGTGGTAGAAGATCTGCGTTGGTCGCTGTGCCTTCTGCTTCAGCTAGTTGCTCTGAATATTCAAGACTCGGAGCCCATCCCAGTGCGCCAGACGTCACTTCACTGCGGTGCCCACGGTCGACACACTTGAGGAAATATCTGTTGTTGTCCTTGATATTTCCGTAGTAGGGCTACACATGAAATATGTCTAATTAAATAGATGGAGCTGTGGTACATGTCATCCAGTACCACGACAGTTTGGCACGGTTTTTGCGCCAATCACAGGCGATGTAAAATCGACCATGCATCCAATCAGAAAATAGCACGAATATTTTCTGCACGATGATTGGGCGACGAAATGGGCTGAGAGCCAACCACTTGGTCACCCACCCGCGGAGTGCAGTTAACACCTCGAGCCAACCCCCGCCAGAAGTGCCAGTATTGTTCAATTTCCCCAAACTAGCATGCCCTTCGTCAAGGTTTCCAAGAACAAGGCTTACTTCAAGCGCTACCAAGTCAAGTACCGTCGTCGCCGTGAAGGCAAGACGGACTACCGCGCCCGCAAGCGCCTGATCACGCAAGACAAGAACAAGTACAACTCGCCCAAGTACCGCCTTGTCGTGCGCATCACCAACAAGCGCATCATCACGCAAATTGCGTACGCCGAAATCGACGGCGACAAGATCTTGTGTTCGGCTTACTCTGACGAACTCAAGCGCTACGGGTTGAAGGCTGGTTTCAAGAACTACGCCGCTGCCTACGCCACGGGTTTGTTGGTCGGCCGCCGCTTGTTGAACAAGCTCGGCTTGGACGGCGACTACGAAGGCAACACGGAAATTGACGGCACGGTCGTCAAGACTGAAGCCAACGGCCGCACGTACTACGTCGCGGAAGTTGCCGACGAAAAGCGCCCTTTCCGCGCTTTCTTGGACGTGGGTCTCCGCACGACCTCGACGGGTAACCGCGTGTTCGGTGCGTTGAAGGGTGCGACCGATGCCGGTCTGGACATCCCCCACAGCGAAAAGCGCTTCCCTGGTTACGACCGCGACGCCAAGTCGTACGACGCTGACGTGCACAAGGAGCGCATCTTCGGTGAACACATCGCCAACCACATGAAGGAGCTGGAAGAAGACGACCCGGAAATGTTCCAAAAGCACTTCGCCCACTACGTCAAGGCTGGTCTTGGCCCGGATGATATCGAAGAAATGTACACCGCTGTGCACGAAGCCATCCGCGCCGACCCGACCGCTGCTCCCAAGAAGGCGTTCACCCCTGATCTTAAGTACAAGAACAAGGCTAAGCGCAGCTTGCAGCAGCGCAAGGCTCGCGTCGCCCAAAAGAAGGCGCACCATGCTAAGTTGGCCCAGGCTTAAATTGCTTGGTTCTCGACACCATTTAACACGGGGATTTGACATCTTTTCATGCCGAGTACTTGAAATACTCAACTGCTGGGAAGTGCGAACTATGTCAACCGCAGCTACCACCTTCCCGCGACGGGAATCTTGTTACCAAGATATGTACGAAGTAGAGATCAACGTGCATGATGGGATTGTGGTGTACATGGAATAGTTTTCAACTCCACGGATCCATCATGACGGTCCCAGTCGTTTGAAATTCTGAAGTGGTTGCATGGAAGGCAAACGCCGACCTTGCAGTCAGCATTGTGCATACGCATGAAAAATTGAAAAACAAATTTGTGGGAGAGCACACACTGGGAAGGGTGTAAATGCATCCGCACATGTCCACCACACGCAGTTGGCGGTGGTGTCCTGTCAAGCTCACGTTGCGACCCTCCCCTGGAAGATATAAGGGGTCCTGTAGGCTGGTCTCGTTCAACGTTTGTAGCCTGAGGACATCGTCAGCGCGAACAGAGTCTGCGGGGCAAGGGAAGGCTGATCTAGTTGGAGACATTGTCGATCTGCCTTGTGTACAGGCCAGGCCTGCGAAACAAGTCGATTCGTTTAGAAGAAAGCACGGGCTGTAATCATTTCGACGTTGTATTATTGACCATGGAGCCACGGCCTTGGTTCGTTGAGGATGGCAATCCTTGTCTTCGTCAAGCAATAAATCAAACCCAACACGGTTAAGCAAGTGACTACTACCATTCAGAGACAGCTCTGTTTAGTTCTTCTTGGCAGCGGCAATCGCCTTCTTGATCAAGGACGACTTTTGCTTGCGAGCAATCATGCTCTTGAAGCGAGCGAAGTCGTTCAAACCCGCGCGGGTCTTCTTGGCTTCACTCTTCTTGGCCCAGGCGGTGGCGGCCCATTTGTTCAAGATATCAGCTTTCGCCAACGCCTTCTTCAACGTGGCTTCACGAGCTTGGCGGGGAATCTTGACGGACAAGTCAGTCAACGCCAAACGCTTGAACGAGATCACGTGGCGGTTGACGCCGGTGACGCTGTAGGGACCTTCGACCAACGCCTTGTTTTCGTCGACAACGTCGATGATGGTAGCCAACTTGCCAGAGTCAGGGCCGTAGTTGATCAAAGCCACACGGCCGATGGTCACGAAGCGGGAGAAGGTCTACGCAACAGCACCACACCCCTGAGCATTCCCTGTCTGCAGCGACACACACAGCGCCATCATCGCGGACGTACCATTGCTTAACTTTACACGTCAAAAGAAACTTAAACCAAAGCGGTGCTTTCGTTGGTCAGCGGTGGTTTAGAGACCAGCCACATGCGTGGCCAATCAACGGCGGGACGCTCTTTTGACGCCGCTTTATTTTATTATCTTGCAAAATCTATTGAATTGTCCCCGAGCCAATCGTTAAAATACGGCATGGTTTAGGTACGACGCTCTGGAAAGTGCGAGATCCAATCTGACAAGGCCTTTGGAACTCGATGCAACCACTCAAGATTGCCGCCAACGACGATGGCGAAGCCGAAGCGGAAGCACTGGTCCGAAAAGAAGGCGGAGAAGAAGGCACGACGTGAGAAAGCTGAAGCAGAGGGAGTCGTGGACGAGAAAAAGGATGAAGAGGAGTACGACCGGCGCAATCAATTTCCCGCCACGATCCACTCTGGGTCGTACGCTGCGCAACTCGACCCAGCGGACACCACTGATAAGTGTTGTGCAGCCCCCAAGAAACGCTATGGCCTCTTGCTTGCGTACTGCGGAAAGAACTACTCGGGCATGCAAGTGTACGTACATGCACGCATCTTACTGTCTTTGCGATTGCTGCGGACATACCCCATGCCATAGCAATATTGGCGTCAAAACGATTGAAGCCGAGCTCGAACGCGCGTTGTACGAAGCGGGCGGCATTGCTCGCTGCAACTACGGCATGATCCAAAAGGTTAGTTTGTTTGCACGTCTGAAGAATGTCGTGTTCATTTGTGTTCCCGACAGATTGGATGGAACCGGGCCGCGCGCACTGACAAGGGCGTCCACGCCGCAGGACAGCTGGTCAGCATGAAGCTGTGTATCGAAGATGGCAAGCTGAACGAATTTCGCAACAACGTGAACTCATTTCTACCACCCGACATTCAAGGTCGTTTCTCAGTTCTCGATGTGCATTGCAACGCTGCCATCGCCGTCGACATCTCTCTTTCTCATCGTCCATTGGACTCTCTGTAGTGCTAGACATCGTCGCGGTCACCAAAAACTTCAACTCGAAAAACTCGTGCGATCGTCGCACGTACGAATACCTGACGCCGACGTTCGTGTTTGCCCCCAAGGGGGTCATGACCGACAAGCCAGCGACTGCGTCCGGGCAATGGACGGCAGCGACGTACGACGAGTTCAACAGCATCAAGGTTGATCCTGAAGCATGGGCCATGCAAAAGGAGTTTCGCCTGGACGCGACTGCGCTGGCCAAGCTTCGCGAGACCCTGGCAATCTTTGTCGGCACACACAACTTCCACAACTACACGTCCAAGCTGCCACCGTACAGCCCACAGTACGACCGACTCGCGACTTCATGGATGCAATGATGCACCGTTTGTCATTTGTGTTTTGGTAGATGCAACCGATACATCTTGTCCTTTGAAGCAGACGATCCGTTTGTGAAGAACGGCACCGAGTGGATTCGGTTGCGTGTAGTCGGCCAGAGCTTCCTCCTCCATCATATCCGCAAGATGATTGGAACGACGATGGACGTGCTCCGAGGGTCCACGCCTGCGACAACGATCAAGACGGCGTTCGAACAAACGAAAATGGATCTGCCCAAGGCTCCCAGTGCCGGACTCTACTTGGCCAAGGTACCCAGCGCATGCTGCTGTCCATGGAACCTATCATGCAATTGTGGATACGGTGGTAGGCGCACTTTGAAGTGTACAACGACAAGAACGAAAACCATCGACCGAGCTTGGCTTTCGACGAACCCGACCAACTCGACCGCATCGAAGCGTTCAAGGAAGCCTTCATCTTCCCCGAGATCATGGAGCGCGAAGAACAGGATGCGGTGTTCCCGCTCTGGCTCCTCCAACTTGATGCGATCCCGTTCACGTACACGACGTGCCCGTACGACGAGTGGCGCACTAAGAAGGACGACGAAACGAGCCGCAAGGGCCAATATAGTCGCGGCGACTCGGACGACGAGCAAAACGAAAATGACGACGAATGAGTTTGGTCAATGGCTACACATGGCAGGCATATTCCAACTGACTCGCATGCATCCACTCGGCCCTCGAATCGTGCCGCAAGTGAAGTAATAGGTATCGCCAAGGCTGCTAAGGGCGTCTGCGAGTACGTGCACAGCCAGGCTTCCTAGCTGTAGTGAAAACGAGACTAGTTCTCTATGTCGCTGTGCACATGACCAGCACGGCGCTGGTCAACTCACGTCCGCCACACCGACAGACTGTCATCTGGGCTTTACGCCGTCGTCATTGTCCAGATTTGCTTTGCTGGCGCAGGTCGGGGGGAGCGGTGAATCGTCTACTATGGAGTATTGAGGCGTCAATTTGGGAAGGCACACCACGCATATAAATATTTCAATGTTCGAAATTGGGCAATTTGACACGCCCGGTGACTAGCTCTTGTTCTCCTCATATACACGCCCGGCGACTAGCTCTTGTTCTCCTCATATGTACTAAGCAGGTGAATCGACAAATTGAGGATCACTTTCAGAGAAATTATGGAAATACGACACCAAACAGTCGGCTGAAAAGCGCCTTGTTTCGACAGGCGTACTGCATCAAAAATTAAATATTCGAAATAGATT